TAATTTCCGTCACATTCTTCGGCGTCGGCCATGTTTTTACAGACTCAACCTTCTCTGGCTGTGTTGAGACTCCCTTGCTTGATACTTCGTGTCCGAGATAGGACACCTTCTTCCTGAACAGAAAGCATTTCTTTGGTTTTAACTTTAAGTTGGCTTGTCGTAGTCTACAGAATACTTGACGTAACCGTGAAAGTTCCTCTGGTATCGATTTACCAAAGATAATCAAATCATCTAAGTAGACAAGTAATGTCTCCCAATGCAATCCGGTTAGTACTTTATCCATTAATCTCTCAAAAGTGGCTGGGGCGTTACAAAGTCCAAAAGGCATCACGTTCCATGAGTAGAGTCCACCATCAGCTACGAAAGCTGATTTTTCCTTAGCATCTTTGCTTAAGCCTACTTGCCAGTATCCGCTTGCCAAGTCCAGGGTTGAAAACCACTGCGCTCCTGACAAAGCATCCAATGTTTCGTCTATACGAGGTAGGGGGTAGGCGTCCTTGATCGTGGCAGCATTCAGTTGCCGATAATCCACGCAAAATCTCTGAGTTCCGTCCTTTTTCTTTACGAGTACAATGTTTGAAGCCCATGGACTATCAGTTGGTTCAATAAGACCTTTCTGTAGTAGCCCTTCCACTTGCTCCTTGATTTCGTCTCTCTGCCCAAAAGGGTGCTTGCGTGGTCGTTGTCTAATTGGTCGCTGAGTTCCAGTATCTATCTTGTGTTGTACCAAATTAGTCCTTCCAATATCATCATCTCCTCTTGAGAATACATCCTGACATTCCGTCAATAACTTTGCCACGTCTTGGCGATACTGATCTGGTATTCCTTCTGTACTTCTCTTTAGCAAATCCCTCAAATGTTCCGGAACTTTTCCATCACCAACAGTGGTGTACTTGGGGACTTCTTGTACTTCACTTGTATCTATTACGGTCATCATAGCGATTGGTGTGTTCTTCTTTACTACTTTGTTGGAAGTAGATGGGTTGAATACTCTAACAGGCACTAACTCCTCCCCTGTCTTGATTAGAGTTCTAGCTGTAATGAGTCCTTTCTTCACTAATTGTTGTTGAACATTTCCAGCCTCTATTAAACCTAGGGTGTTAGATTTAATTCGATCTCCTTCCTTCATTGATCCAAGTATTACAGCTTCATGTCCTGCGGGGATTGTAGTAGTTTCTGACGCAGTTATGCGGCAGGATAGTCTTTCTCCACTTTCATTCTTGCACTCTACTTTGCCCCATTTTGTGGTGAGTTGGAAATTAGTCAGATCAATGCTAGCCCCCATTCTTGTTAGATTGTCCAAACCGAGGATTCCATCACTACTCACATCTGCTACCAAAACTGTAATTACTCCTTTATTTGGTCCTATCTTCATCTCATGAGTTATTGCTCCATAAATGGCTAATGGTGAACCATCTGCTAACTGTGCACTTATGCTACGATGTTGCAGAGGGGGTCTATCTTTTTCATCTAATTGTTCATATGATCGTCTAGAAATGTAAGAATCTGAAGCACCAGTATCAACTAGAAATTTGTATTCCTTGTCCTGAATATGCACTGGAACATAAAGACCATCAACATTTTGATTTATACTGGGTATGAAACTTGTCTTTGTTTTGCTAGTTTGGGTCTCAATTAATTTTGGACGATTGGCCGCGCCACGACCCTTTGGGGCGACCACTTGTCGTTTGACTGACGCTGATATCTTTGTCTTGACCAGTTAGATTCACCACTTGGATAGTTCCTTCCTCTTCGATCCATTTGTTTCTCACGGCATTCCCTTGCGAAATGGCCAGGTTTCTCACAATAGAAACATTTTTGGGTTTTCACATCAAATCTTCCTTCATGCGCTGTTTGGCTTGGTCTTTGATTAGTTCCTGATTTCTTCACATATCCCTGACATCTTTCCTTGTTAGGTTGACTTTCCATAGCTTGGCCTAGGACTTTGTTGACTTCATCTTTGATCATCTTCTCTAGATCCACTTCAGAGCCGATTCCTCTATTGTAAGTAGGCTTAACCTTCCATCCATTCCTCTCAGTCTCCGTCTGTAGAAATGTCTCAGTGGTTATTGCTGCTTGAATTACCTCATCTAAGCTTGTTGCCTTAGCATGAAATATTCCCATACGAATCTCACTACTACGAATAGCATCAGTAAAATGAATCCTAGCTAGTCTATCGACCCCTTGACTTTCAAAGTTTGGATATGCCTTATCAGTTAGTTCCCTAATATGACGTCCTAGTTCCTGAAGTGATTCTCCTTGTCGTCGCTTACGATTCCTTAGTTCCAACAGATAGCTTTCCGCCTGTTTGGCAGAAGAGAACCTGAATGACAGTTTACTCTTTATTTCTTCAAAGTTCCACTTGGTGCCTCTTTGTTCTTCTAGTAATCTCAGAGCTTGACCTCTCAAGCTAGCAGCTAGATACTTGGCAGATTCCTCATCTTTCCAGTTGTTGATTTCGCAACAAGATTCAAAATGCGAGGCGTAGTCTTTCCAGTCGGTACTTCCATCATACTTGTCCGGCATGATCAGTGGTCGATGAGTAGTTTCCCGAATTCTATCTTCTTTGGCATAGCGAATGTCATCATTCCTCTTTTGTGTTTTCATCTGGTTAGTTTCTTCCTTAAGTTTCCTCGTCTTTGATTCATCGACATGAGATATTCCTTCCTCGTCTCCATGTTGGACTTCCATTCCTATCAGTCGTCTATTTGGTTTGGAGTTGAATTCCACTTCATCATCTGAAGAATCAGATAGTTCTTCCGTGGTGGAGTCTGGGCCAACACTCCTCTTCCTTGGTTTCTTTGTCAACTTCATCATTTGCCCCATTAACTTCGTTAGTTGACTTAATATCCGACTTTGTAATTTCTCTGACCTACTCTTCTTTTTCTTTGAACTTTTTGTACTAGACATTGTCTCATCTGAGGAGCAACTTAGCTCATCTATTTCTTTCTTAGACTCTGGTACCTCCGCCATATTAATAATCCCACTTCTGACACCAAATTTGTGGCGGCCGCCCCCGCCTCCGTCTCCAACCTCGACCTCTACGTCGGGATTATTCTCTTTCCAGCTGGGGAAACTGATTCTTTATATCTGTCAGGATATTCGTCAGCCGACATTATTTATAATGTCCGAGCGGTTAGAGTAATTAGATCTTATCTTTTATTTGAGGAAAGACGGGGGAAGCTACAATACTTATTTACGTTCGTTTCGTCGAAATATACGACTATGAAGGAGTACCAGTCAAGAAGAAAGACAAAGTGTTTATAGACTCATAATTTCAGTTTCAAGACAAAAGAAAATGGTCAATTTTTATTAATGCATGTACTTCAAATATTTACATCTTTATATCACCACTGTCACAAATACCTTGTGCTCATAGTTATACTTAATAAATTTATACGATTGTCGTTATTATATTCGAATACATGTAAAAAGTGAAGGGCAATGATTCATTGGGATTTATGGGACTTGGGAGTTTTCCGTCTTAGTTTAATTCCATAGCATCATAGGGGGAGAGGTGGACTTAGAATATTCCTGCATCTTAATTATAGTGGTTCATTAATTCCAGCATCTTAATTCCAGCGTAGACTTCCTTGTGTACCTTTATATTCCAGGGAGGGAGAGAGATCTTATGTGTGGTACCGGTTCCGACGAGCGCCCAATTCCAATACAAGTCCTTAGGTGGGGGGGATTTCCAGGGAGAGACTAATAGTTCTGATTCCGACGAGCGTCCAATTCCAACTCCTCGCGTTTTAGAAATGTTACGGGTTATAAAGGCATAATGCGGACGTGGGGGAAATCGGTGCGCTAAGCGATCTTGGAAAGTACGCGCGCAGCGAAAATGGACTTAACATGAAGACTGTGCTAGTTCAGAGCAAAATATCTAAGTAAATCTCTTATTTTACCATTAATTAAATACAACACTCTGAATGACCTAGTTGCAGTAAATATTAACAAGTTACATTGTCTAAACAACTTTCCATCCAAATTCATGTGATAGATTGATAAACAATTACAGTATACATCTTAAAGCATCTCAATAATGGATCCAAATGTCAATCGCTCGTATGCAAATTATTAACGTAAACATTGTGCGTCGGTGTATGATGACGCGCTTGAAAACAACAATCATTTAAGTTAGGCCTCTTTGTTACGTCACGACCGCGGAGCGGATCGTTACAATATTTTCTATTCTAGAAATTGGTAATTCCTAGTCATTTTATTTTTGTCCTTGTGAAGAGGAACGGGGAGGTGCCATAACTTACCCCTCCCCCCCCCCCCCCCCCCCCCCCCCCCCCCCCACCATTCTGGCGAGGCGCTCATAATGGGCGTGGCTATGGTATTGGTATTATATCGCATATACGGCTTAGCAACACACAGCTGCACCAGTTACCATCGTCTTGACGTGCGTACTTGTACCGTAAACCCTCGGTCAAGTCTCGGGGCCCCGCTGCGGAAGCAACACGAACGGCTTATATACCTCCTGCTAGCCGACCAATGGCCGTATAGCGTACCGTACCGTATCACTCATACTGGTACTCGTACTGGTGGTAGCTCACTCGTACTCGTAGCCTGATTTATGCAACGACGGTGTCAATAAGCCAGTTCACGGTTGGAGTCTGAGCATGAGCAGATAAAGGTCATTGCAGAACATATTTTGAAATACACGGAGACGAAATACTGGATACTGCTCATGAAAGTTATGTAATCATTATTCATTCATGCACTTTCAGTGCACTCCTTGATACACAGGTGGAAGTATTCTTTGAAAAGGGGAAACAAAGGCTATTTATATAGCACCTCCATCGCTGTAGGAGTGATTATTTCAAAATGTACAAAGTGGGACCTCTTCATATTTTGAAGATCTGTGGATATTCGGGGTCATTGCAGTAATGTGCTAACCGTGAACTGGTCTATAGCTGATGTGATTCAGAATATCAGCTACGTCATTGCAATTAATACTTATATTGACTAAGCTAAGCACTTGTTATTAATAATATGGATGCGTTGAACTAAACTTAGTGCAGTGGCAGTGCGACTGCACTGTGTCTGTGACTCCCCGCGATCCCAAACCGGGCCGGGCCCTTTCACTGTCTTCAGTTTCAAAAGACAAAAGACAAAAGCCAAAGGTAAGTCAACGTCAGGTGTGATTATAATTTATAACCATAGGGCTGGGTCTACATTACATGAATTGACTATGACTATTTATATAGTCGACCTGTTCTGTGTCTTCAATTTCTCAAGATTTGAATCTCCTATTTTTGCTACTTTCAATTTGTTAATGTTTAATCATGCCGCGGTACGTCTAAACTAGTAAAGAGTAACACTATTAATTTATACACATAATACAAAGCTAGCAGTGAGGGTATATATGGCATTGCCATTATTAAGAATTACCCACACAAGGTACCTTTGGAACAGTCTAACACGTACGCCCTAAGCGATGGTTGAGGGTGTTTGGACTGTTAAAAAGGTACCAAGTGTGGGTGATTTTACTATAGCCCGAACGTTCACGAACAAAATTATGTCTATTTATTTTTTTCATATTAGATTTGTGTTATAAGATTATGTTTTATTTGTTACTTTTATAACATGATTTTACTAATGACCGGTCATTATCAAAATTACGTGTTAGGCAAAACAAATGCCTTGTCACGTGTACGCTCTCAACCAATCATTTGATTAGGATCCAAGTTGTATGGCGTCATCATCTTACAAAACCAGATAACAGCAAGCTAGGTTAACTCTAAAAAGTATTAGTAGTAATACTGTAGTAGTACTATTAGCAGAGAATAGTAACTTTGCGGTTACCAGTACCACGATTGTGTGTATGTGTGTAGACCTCTTGAGGTCTAATTTTTCTTTTTTTACAGGTGTGTATCAATCAGATGTGAATTACGTCTGGGACCAACCCTTGGGCTTTAACGTCGCCATTCAAAAGACATGACTCCATTTTGAAACTGGGCTGGATCCGACAGAGAGCTGGCCGTAACACGGACAGTACCGCTAGGCCAACATACTCTTGATCATCTCACTTATTGTGACTCTACTGCTGTAGAATTATCATAGATCTAGATGTTAAACAGTTTGATTGAGCTTGTATTTGTATTCTTCCTTAAATTCTTCTTCTTCTTTCACAGTTCAGAATGGGAAGCAGCATCTTGCCCTTACACCAGACAGCTTGTACTGTGGTTGTTAGAACATTGCTTGATCGCAGCGATCCACATTCCGAAGAGAATCGGAGGACAGGAAAGCATCTCGTAAAGCAGCTAGAGAGCAATGTCTTTACTTCTGTCAGCGGTGATGTGCTGAAGATGTTTGTGAAGAGGTATCCGTCTCGTGTCTCATCGGATCTTGTGCTCCTCCTAGCTCCACCTCATCTTAGAGTTTTGGATCTCACAAGATGCCATAAAATCGGAACGCCTGAAAATGACCTGCAGGTTCTCCGAAAAGCACTCTCAAAGTGAGTTCATGCAGGCCAGAGTCTGAGAGATACCGCCTACTAATTGATATATTTGGTAAATTATTATATCTAATTGGACCTGATAGATATCACGCACGTGTCGCGCACTTGTTGCGTTGTCCCATATACATCTTTCTGTGCAGTGCTTGCAACTTTACCAAGACTGGGCCAAATTTCTTATCATTTAGATGATTCTAGAACCTTGCAGTACACACCAATACCTTGCCGTATATGCTAGATGATCAACCTTTTCTGATCGATTCCACAACGTTTCTTTCACAATGCAATCGCATGACCATGACTGGTCTTTATCTTTAAGGATTAATCCCTTTTATCTAAATGGATTATTTCGCCATTCTTGACCAGTAGTGCGTTTCAAACTCAATAATGTGGGCATCGATCCCATATTGAATGTTGTGTCCGAATAAGATGCGGAATGCATAATCTGAGGGCTTTTCTGTGAAAAAGAGCACACAATAGGGGCAGTGCAATTTAAATTTCAAGGGATGGATTAGAGTTTTTATCGCCTGACTGACTTTCTTTAGATATGCCCACACAACAAATGTTTCCACTGTTTGAATGGGACAGCTGAGGTGCGCATGTTGTGGTAATCCCTTTACTTTTTTCAGTATTGAAATAAGTAAATTATCAGTGCCTATGAAATTCAAACAAAAGAACTGATGACATTACTGTTTTCTTTCCATACAGATGCATGCATCTGAAAACCCTGATTCTGGATAATATAAGGAGAAGTGATGGATACTGCATTGAAACATTGATGGAAGCCATTGTTGATACAGCTCCTCAACTTATGTCAATATCTTTGGAACATATGTCAATAATGGAAGATGAGCATGTTCATGTAAGCGTTTGTACATTGTTTATTTGTGTGGATAATTATGTAGTATTGTTTTGATTAAGTTTCTATTGTCTCATGACTTTTTCACTAATAACTGTTGTTGTTTGTGTCAGAGTGAACCTAAGGAAAACTATTTGAAGTTCCCAAAGGAGAATGGATTATATGAAGGATGAACATGACCCTCAGTTTACAGTTATATTGTTTTACATCGACTGTGAGTCTTTAAAAAAATAAATGTAAACATAGATATTGCCACTAAGAAGTGTAGTTTTGTGTTGTTAAATCTTACCAATGAGACAAATTTGAAGTTCCCATAGAAGAATGGTGTTTCTGCAGGAGAAAGCATGGTCCTGACTTGAAAGAGTTTTCCATTTACTTCCAAAGCTTTTGTAAAATAACAATTATTGGTTTGGTCCTAGATCACTTCAGTGCACCAAGAAAAACAATTTTTTAACCAAACCAATGACAGTGACCAACACTTCTATTCTATACAGTAGGCTTGCGGTTGCACCATGTGAGAGAGAGAGGGGGAGGATTGGGAAGTCCTGAAATCTACATCACCGTGCAAGCTCATACTTATAGGCAATTTGTATTCTACATGAAAGAAGCATGATTTTTAATTGTTCTATTTTCTCCTGTTAGATGTTGTTGAGGGGACTACCTCATCTGACCTCCCTGAAGCTGTCCAAGTGTGCTGGACTGACGGATGATGTCTTCTACCTCGGTCAGAATCAACTTTCAGAGCTCGCGCCATTCAGAGATTTCATTCTTCCCGGGAGTCATCTTGCATCCGTTGACCTCTCTGGGTGTCAGAAGCTGACCAATACCTGTATAAGACATCTGCTGGAGCTCTGTGGACCTAACCTGAGGAATCTCAATGTTTCTTACACAGGAGTAAGTGTTCCTTAATTGACAGGATTCAGAAACAAGAACAATCTTGTTCACTTCATCTAGTTCCATTAACATTAGCTTAATGTCAATTCAAATGTCTTTCAAAACCAAATGCAGAATGGATCTTCCGGTGCAGTTTTCTCACTAAGTGTGTATGGCAGCCTCTTTTTAATGCCTCCCCCCACTGAAGGTGGTGCCGGAGGTATTATGTTTTCGGGTTGTCTGTGAGTCCGTACGTCCATCCTGCTTTCTCGTTAATGCGATATCTCAAGAACCACGTTAGATATGAACTTCAAACTTGATGATAGTATGTATCACCATATGAAGACAAGCTGATAAGATTTTGGAGTAACTAGGTCAAAGGTCACAGGAGTCAACTTTTTAAATTCCATGTATTCGCCTCATCGCAATATCTCAAGAACTAATAGAGATATGAAACTCAAAATTAGTGATAATATGTATCACTATAGGAAGACGATATGAATAGATTTTGGAGTAACTAGGTCAAAGGTCACAGAGGTCAATTTATGAAATTCTAGATATTAGACTTGGTATTGCAAAATTTCTAGAACCACTAGAGGTATGAGGCTCAAACTTGGTGATAAAATGTATTACCATAGGAAGACAATCTGAGTAGATTTTGGAGTAACTAGGTCAAAGGTCACAGGAGTCAACTTTTTAAATTCCATGTATTCGCCTCATCGCAATATCTCAAGAACTAATAGAGATATGAAACTCAAAATTAGTGATAATATGTATCACTATAGGAAGACGATATGAATAGATTTTGGAGTAACTAGGTCAAAGGTCACAGAGGTAAATTTCTGAAATTCAAGATATAGCCTTGTTTTCCCGATATCTCAAAAACCACTAAATATATGAGGCTCAAATTGGTGATAATATGTATCAATATGGGAAGTTGATCTGATTAGATTTTGGGTTCAGAGGTCAATTTCTAAAATAACAGGTTATAGTCAATCAAGTATGATTAAACATAACCTTTTCTGTTTTTCAATCTTAAGTGACATCATCACAGTGAAAGGATAATGTGTTTTTTGTTCCTTCTTCAGATGGACTGCACTGTCCTGTGGTACCTGTCCGGTTATAGTTTGTCCTCAACAGTTCAATTGGCACTAAAGTCAATTAACCAAGTAGAGCCATACACTGTATTGGCCGTCAAACAGCTTCTGCAGACCTTGAACGCATCACAGAAGAGACTAGATGAGATTAAAAGAGGTACCTTGGTTGATGGCCCTCAAGGTGCATCATCTGATGTTGGAACTCTTGTACAGGATAACCCCAGAGAAGTCGGTGGGAACAGAGAGTCATCTGTGACTTCTGAAACAGCTTCAAAAAAGCAGATTGATGGAATGGTTGAATCAAGTACTGTATCAGAAAGTGAAACAGATGAATGCCAGGATGCAGCTGCAGGAAGTAGTTGTCCACCAAGCTTAGCATCAAGTGATACTGATACTGCCGCAGCAAGAGACGAGGTGGAAGACCTTGATTCAGTTGTAACATCACAGCTTGATGCCCTAGATATCAGCTCTGGAGCAAACCTTGTGGTGTCTAGGGACACTGAGGTTGGTCAATCAGGACTGACTTCCGAGTTAGGAATTGACCCAAATATCCAGTTTTCAATGTGCTCTGCAACATATAATGGCCCAAATATGGATACAAGACAAGACAGGAACATATGTGGCATTGAAGATGTCATTCTTGAAATGGATTCTGGAGAACAAACACAAGAAAGGGATGATATGGTAAATACCAATGCCAATGTTAAACTTGGTGAAGCATCAATGGCTCAAGACCAAGCAAACAGTGGTGCATGTGACTTGTTGAATTCAAGTAGATCTGATCAGCTTCATAATTTGGAAGATGAAAACGACAAGGTACATGTAACAGCTGATAGAAACATGAATGTCAAGTATCCGAGCAATGTCAACATGCAATGCCAGTTTTGTTGCCATAACAATAGAACTCACAGATTAGGTAAAACGGGATCAGCAAATGAGATTCTAGAACAAAAAGGTGACTCAGGTGAGACTGGGACTCTGCCAACACAGCCCGATATTCAAGTCGGTATCACAAGTGAAATGTCAGTCAGTGACACACCGGAAAGCAGATGTAGTGGTATAAACCAAAACCAGAGAACAGCTCTGAATTCAAGCTTCCCCAAACCTATGAACAAAGATTCAAGTTCTGCTTTAGGAAGTAATTGTAATCTATGTCATGATACTCCCTCTTCTTGTTTTGGTGTAGAGGATAACACAAACACATCAGCAAGTTCTTTCACTCCTACACAATCCCTTGTGGAATGTAGTGAACATATATCTTGTGGAAAGAGTGGACAAAATGTCTCGCTGGATGCTGTTCCCTTGCCATGTGAAGGTGCTTCTGAATGTTCAGGGTTTTCAGCTTCTTCTACAGCTTCACGTTGCGTGATGGAAACCACAGACTTATGTGGAGATGAAGGAAGCTTACAAATGAATAAGGCAAGTGTTTCAAGTAGTAGCCAAACATTACATGTTGAAGCTACTGCCGTGTGTTGTGCAATCGAAACAAAAGACAGCAATTTAAGTGGAGCTGGGAGTTCATCTCTGAGTGACGGGGTTACAAATACTGCTGGATCTCCTGTCAATATGCAATCCACCATGGAGGTCTCGGATGATGATGACACCCTGCAGGCTGGTACGTCTTCAGAACCTAGAGAAGGCCTTGACCCATCATTGCCAGCTGCTATGCAAACACTACCTCGCCTCTTTGAACCTTACATAGTCTCCCTGGACATTAGTTTCATTGACTGGGACCATGCTGTTGTTGCATCATGTTTGGAAGACTTCTTTTCAGTTAATCGTCATCTGCAGAAATTGGTCCTGTCACAGAAAGGTCTGACAAATGCCACGCTTGAAATCATCTCTAAAAACGTCAAGGAACTTAGACATTACAGTATGGTAAGCATTTTCATACGAGTGACTGTATAGTTTGCATACGCTTGTATGCATACATTTAATATGATATGCAAAAAAATGGAATCAATACCATGCATTTCGCGTACGAACTTTCTTACAATGCAAAAAGCCACCATGCTGGCATTGAAAACAACATACAGAATATTCTAATCTGTCTGATTATCAAGATATTTTTGATTGAAAATCGAAACACAATTTTGTGTTTTCCTAACGGTTTTCATAACACTACAGTCTATTGGGGAAAACGAGTACCGGTATGGTAAAACCGGTCATTCAAAGATTTTTACTTTTTGAGGCATTGATATTGAACAAAGTTTATTGTTTTTGATGATTGTGTGAATTCCATAGGTACACAAATGCAATACAATACCAAAAGACCTGGATCATTTTAGCTGTCCTGAATGATTTTTTTTCTTCATTTCTATTAATTTGCATCTGTTATATTTGTCATGCACAGGGCTAAGCCCTGGCACTGTATGCATGATTATATTTATGCTTCATACTCATAGTTTGACTGTCCTGAAATCAGCAATGAAGGTCTTGCATCATTCCTGAAAGGATGTCCCAAGCTCCAACACCTAGATATCCAAGGTGAGCCACATATTTGATTCTGTGAATTGCATATAAACTACAAAGTTTTTTCTAGACTTTCTGATTTGTATCTTGCTAGTGAGGAAGATACATGGAAAAATGAAAGTCAAGTAGGAGAAACATTTGACAATAGAAACTTTTAGATTCGCACGAAGACAATAGGTCTACGCTACGATCAACGTCCTTGTAATGCACTGCCTTCAATGGACGTCACACGTATCAGTCCACGCAAATCTAAAAGTCCCTATTGTGTGTATATGAAGAACATGTAAGGATTTAATTTTATACTGTCATAATTACAGACTGACATTGCAAACATGACAGGACTGTTTTCCACAGGAGGTTTATTGTTATTGAACAAAGAGTATACCGGTAACAGGCTTGACCAACAGTTTTAGCCAGTATTGTAGGACTACCGGTAATATGTGTTTGCATTACTACAGAGGGTTTGGGCTGGTAATTCTTCAAATCATGAGATTTTGGTCCAATTATGAATGAGTGCATTTGAGTTGAGATTGCAAAAAGGCATGACTTAACAGGGACAGGCCATGTCATTTAAAACCAATAAATAAGTTTTTTTTTAATACATACAAGATGCTGTGGTCAGAAGCTAGATGTCTCTTGTTATTCATAGATAATCACAGGTACAGAAACCTGTAAGGTCAATATCAGGTTGAGAGACAATAACTATAAAAAGACAAGAACAGGTCGCCCTTTCTACTGCCATTATCTCCCTCCCTCCTGTGGAATCGTTTTCATTGGTTACTACTATAGTTTTCACACACTTCTTTAAATTCAGGCCTGAGCCATGTTGGTGATCAAGGAATATACCCCCTCTTTGAAGATGGCGCTAACAGCAGACTGAGCGCCATCAAGCTGGCAGAGAACAGTATCATGGACCTCACCCTGTCAGCGACCTGTATCACTGATATCACCCTGTACAGAATTGCTACAACCGTCGGTCCAAAGGTATGTTCAATGAGTAAAAAAGGAACAATTTGGAAAACCTCTTTAAAGTTGTTTTTGACAATTGTCATTGTTGTCAGTAACATGATTGAGACCCTTTTTTAAACAGGTTTTTCCTCTCCCTGTTATTTCACTTACTAGAAGAGAATACTCTACTATGATATTTGAATTCAGTCGTATTAATTCTGTAGGGCATTACAGATTACTCTTGTGAATAGTCCATTTAGTAATCCTGCATTTTTGGACAACTCTCTATTCTTCTCCCCTCATTTTCAGCTTCAAGAGCTGGTGCTACTATGGTGTGAAGACGTTACAGATGCTGGTCTTGAGAAGATAGCCCTTAACTGCCCATCTCTGAAGACCTTACTCCTAAGGCAGCGCTTCATGCGATCAGAAACGCTTCAGGCATTCGCTGATAATTGTCCAAACCTGGAGGACGTTGGCCTGTCTTCAGTTAGTTGTATAGCAGGGGATCTCATGGAATCTGTAGCACCTAGACTCAAGAGGCTTAAAATCCTGGATGTCAGCTGGAATGCAGGTAGAGCTCACCTCCTAAAATCCTTTGACTTCTTTATAATGTTATTTTCTACCAGCCATGCATCTAGGGTGCGTAAAAATGAAACCTAGCGTTTTTTATCATGTTTGAAACCATTCAGTGTTATATTTATACAGAAAAATGCATAGCATCAATCAGTTGTAAAAACTACGGTACTAGGTAGAGTGTTGGGTCACAAATAGATTGTATGTTTAAAATACCTCTTGATTTTTTTAAGCATATAGTTGTGAGATTCAATTTTTTGTTTCACCCAGATTTAACGAACCAATCTGTGTCAGCCATCTTGTCATCTTGTCCTGTCTTGTCAGAGCTATTACTGTGTGGTGTCAAGCAGATCACTGACAAACCTTTCCTATCCATCATTGCAAGTAAGCTTTTGTTCCTTTCTTTCTGTATAAAAGCTAGCACACACCGGCAGCAATGAAGACTAATATCATGTTATTTTCTAGTGCCAATTACAGTCTTAGTTGTTGCATTGGGCAATATCTAGTGGAGATGGTGCTTCAAAAATAATTGTAGTATACTTTTTGAAAATAATTTGTCCAGTAAGTCATAAAATTAACATTCGTGTGGTTCTCTGTTGCATCTATGTACTTTGAGTACCATTATGGGTCACAGATATTTTTGTCTACTAAGTTTTTGATCTGAACAGTTACAGACAGGAATACAATTTTTATTTTACCAAGATCAATTCTAGTTTCAGTTCATATCACTTGTTCAAATTCCCTTGAAATGTACCAGCCATAGAAAATAACACAGGAGAATATCAACCTTGGTTGCTACTACGCTGTTTGCTGAGCGACTATTGTATTGAAGATGTGTGAAGTTGGATATCATTCATGTTTGTTCTCTTTAGATTACTCAAAGTGGAAGAGGTGCCAGATACTGATTCAGCTTAAAGTGAGGGAACAGAAGTTAAGGAGAGATACAGGGATGGCTCAGCTTTCTAGTGATGAGGTAAGATGTAACCCACGATAGACAGCCTTATGGTGTATGATTGGTTTGTTTTACCCGACTGCTAAGAAAGCATGTGTGTGCTTGAAAGTAACCAACCAGGAGACCGATGGCTTTAAAGGGATTCAGTAACTTTGTCTCAGATTTTGAACTGCTAAGGGGATTCAGTAACTTTGTCTCAGATTTTGAACTAAATCCTGGATTTAGCTCATGCTGTAATGATAATTATAAACTTTTAAGTCGGTCAGGAACCCCATGACTTTTACAAGCCGATCACCTGTCTGATTATCAAGACATTTATGATTGAAAATCAAAACAAAATCTCAGATTTAACATTGTTAAGTCCTCTCTGAGGGACCTGGTAGTTAGGATTAATGCCTTACCAAAAGGCAGTGGTGCATCGACTTGGTTTCAAACCCTGGACCTCTTGTTATGAGACCACTGCTCTACCACTGAGCCATCGCGCACTTTGGTATTCACATGTTTGTAGCCTTTAATGGGGGAAAGGTAGTTAAATCCACTGTTGTTTGACAACATAAATTGCTCCTACCTCTGTCAGTATAAAAGCCAAATGTAATGTGCCATCGATTTAAAAATCATTTTTTTCTCTCCTGTCTCAGTTAGTAACAATAGCGCGCTTTCGCAAACACGACTGTAACGTGAGCGAAAAAAAATCTACGCATGCGTGAACCAGAATTTGCTCTGTCCTGTTGATTTTCACGATTCATGAATGATGGAGCAAATAAGTTTTTATTTAAGATATATTCATGATTATTATTTAAGATATATTCATGATTATTATTTAAGAAACTTTATCAGTTTTGTAGAATTAAACTATACATGTTATCCATTTATTTAACAATATGATCATTATTTACAGGAATTTGAAGATCTGTATGTTCCTCACCGTTCTACCAGTTATGCTCCATCTCTTTGTGATCTCAACTTGAGTTACTGTGACCACGTCAAAGACAACCGTCTGCAGGAAATAGTGGCCGTTTGCAGAGGTACTCTCAACATAGTAGATTATTATGGTGAGGACATTGCTCCAAAGCTTCTGCATTCATTATAGTTTGGACATTGAGGTGATGGAACAAAATATGGATTTCTCCTTATATGGCGAGAGATTTGAAAAGTGTGTTATTCTGTAACAACGCCTTGCTGTTCGTCTAATCAAAGACAGTCACAGATACATTCCCAATCACCTGTTTCAAACAGTTCAGACCAGGGTTTTATTTATTTATTTATTTCTGATATTTAAACAGGGTGACTCATTATCACCAATAATGGTGGTCTTCCACGAGTCCCTGTTGAACTTAATGAGGTACGTTATAGTTTGACAAATATATATATGATAATAATATTAATAATAAAATCTTGAACATAAATTCATAACAGCAATAAACAATAAGTAAGAACATGTTGAAACATATATACAAAGTATTGGGAATCCTAGTAATTTTGCGATTGATTGAAGGATTCAAAAGACTGGGCCTATGGTATGGTTACAGTTGTATGTCACAAGCTTCTTGTAAATGAGACAAGTATGGTTTGAGTGGAAACACAATTCTCTGTACCACTCTGTTTTTGTCACATAATTAAACTGTGGAATCCCAGAAAATAAATGACAATTTATTTTACAAGATCAGTGTACTGATTTAGAAGTTTAGCAGTTAGATTAGTTCAAACAGAGTTTAGGGTTAGTGCTTAAAACTTGAAGTCTGTTAGTAACTTCATTTTGCAGATTTATTTTTATATATATTGATGAAAGGCAAGTTACTGACAATTTTAGTGTGCTAACAAATATGTCTTTCAAAGTGAATTGATGATCAAATAAAGGCTCATAGGTAAGTTGTAGATGATCCAACGAACATCTGAATTACCAGTATTCCTTTGCTACTGAAAGTTATGATGGAGATGGTATGTCTTGGATTGTCTTACTGGGTAGATGTCTATACGTCTTTCTATATTTCATGTTATTTCAGTACCCCAAGAAGTATTTAAGGTGTTAACTTAAAACTTATTACAGAATGCAACATCATTTGCAGCAGGGAAAAGTATGGTAGTCAAATCTTAATTTTTTTGCAATACAATGCTCAGTAGAGATCCTGTTCTCGCTCTGTATTCTAAGAGCCACTTCAAAAATGATTTTGGCACTTTGTATCACTATGCATCATCTCAGGGAATTATTCCTTTTAAAATGCAGATTTCAGTCATGTCAAAGGGAGTATTACGTGATACTATATTTACTGAACGCGTTTTTGGTAGCTCTTGACGCTCCCAGATACGGGTCATGCTGAATACTGAATATATATGTAATACGGCAAGGCATTGTATTTTGTCCTGTACATTTCAGAGAGTTTAGTATTACCATATATCCATGTTCCTGATGATTGTAATGCATTGATAGTCCTACTATAGCTTAGGCATGATCTGACATGATCTTGGCATGATCACGATGTGATCTGACTATGATCAGATTTTGGAAAATTTGCAAAAGCATATTTGATGTGAACATTCAAACTTGTAAAAGATCAAGGATCTGATAATTGCATGACTTACAAAATTAAAACTTTAAGGGATTTCAAGCTTTCTTGGGGGAAGAAAAGCTGAATCTGCCCAGAACGCAGTGACGTCACACCAATATTGCAATTGTCTACTACCTGATGCGGTTTTTATTCTGACTAGAAGGCCTAAATGCAATAAAATTCTGGCTTCTAGTATTCTTATCATTTTATTAGTCGAAAAAATTGTTTTTGCTACAGAAACGTGCAATACAAGCAATTACCAAATCAAACTATTTAGCACATACCCAACAATTATTTAAAAAGTTTAAAATATTGATTTTTTTTTATATAAACAAATTACAACTAGCATCGTTTGTTTTCTTATTCTATACAATTATAATCCCAATAACTTAAAACTTGACTTTTTTGATATAAAGTATAAAACAAGGAATTCCAATAAAATGTATGTACCTTTTTATAATTTCTATCGAAGGGTGGTAATATAGGGGATCAACCTTGACAGGCCAATGGCCTTTGTTGATCCCTCGCATCCACCACCCTTGATCCTTTTTTCACAGTACCATGTCAATGAATGTTTTTATATTTACATTGTTTAATTTATACTGATTTGTTTGTAAATCTTCTTATGTGTTTTTTAAATAGATGTGAAATATAATTAGAATTTCTTTAAAACTTGGATCGCAGGAATGGCCCAATAATAATCATAATATATTACTTACTAATTTTATAGTGGTGAGAGATATTTGTCCTGCTATTCCATGGTATATGTATTATTGTATCCCTGGTAGTATGCTGGAAGGGGAATTAGGATTCAGCAGCATTACGCCGCCGCCGCCGCCACGTCATATTCTTGTGTGCGCTCTATTAACTGCCACATTCCTTGACAGAATCGGTTATAGTAAAATTTACATGTAGATATTACTTAATACAAAACACAAGGGATCAATACAAAATTGGTGTATCCTATACGATTTTCTTCCTTTATTAAATTATTTGCATTTGAATGTATACCAGGTTGATAATGATAAGTACTTGCACATTATAAGATTCTAATAGAGTCAACCTTGCATAAGTCGACCTTCCATGAGTTCAATAATCGTTTAAGTCGAAGCAATAAGTTTGATACCTACAATAAAACCAGGTAATTTTTTACTGATTTAAACATGTATAATTGTAATTAATAGCTATAAGTTAATTATTGATGCAATTATCAATAGGCAGAAGATCGGTTTACCTCAATATGAACTAAGGTTATTCCATCGTAAAACATGTCTATCTTAGATTTGTGATTTTATGAAATTGACTAAGATGCATTTTTAATTTACAACATCGATATGAACATGCAAAAAACTAACTAGTACAACTACCGCAATATTCTATTGTCTTTCGAGACGGACAGATGCTGAGAGAGACTTGTGACTATAGTATGTATATCTATGCAATACATGAATGTAAACTGTTATACAAAGATACTAAATGCAAATTATAACAAAGGGGAGAAAGATCAAATTTTAAAAGTAATAAATTACTATTAATCACATTAAATTCTCAACTGTCTTTTGCTGTCTAAAAAAGTTTTTGAATGTGCAATATGGATGTGATTTGTGGATGTACAACTTGATTGTTTATATTTTGGTTGACAGATCAAGAAAGAGAGAGAGAGAAAATGTTGAAACACTACGCAAGGCCTGATAAAAACCTGATTTAAATCGGTTTCCCAATTTCTTTAATTTTTCTCCAGATTTTTTCTTTTTCTTTTCTTATTCCAGATTTCCCCCTTATTTTTTCTATTTTCCCCTATTTTCCCCAATTTTCTTAATCAAAAGGGGGGAACGTTGTTAGATGCCATCCCCCCCCCCCAATCCTCTTCTTTCTGTTTTTTTACTCAAGGGGGGCATGGTCGAGGGGAGAAAAAAAAAGAATTTGGACTTTGAAAAAAATTCCCTCCTTCGCATAACACGTAATACAATTCAACTCAATGGGAGATAGAACGTACAAGTAAAAACCCAAAATGGCAGATATTGCAGTCTTCATCTTAACCTTCTTTTGACCATGTTCCTGTTTTCTGATCAAAAATTTAATCAAAATACATTTGCAGAGTAAATTCTCAGCTACAACAAAATAAAATATGGGAGACATCAGAGTAGGGATAGGCGAGATATATTCAAACAACAACAGCAAATATTACCTAATCAAATTAAATTCAATTGTTTTCCTTGATTAAAGTGGCACTATGTCAACGTCAAGGTTTTCTAACGGCAGACCTGATACATAAAATCGCATCTCCAATACGTACCTTATCAGAACATGAAGAAAACAAATTGGGGTAACTAGCCATTCTGATGATTTAAAATACAGTAGGTACTTTTTTTACCACTTTTGGAAAATTTTGCAAAAGCGCGTTTGCATCAATTTTAATGTCTATGAGCTAAATTTGCGTCAATGAAGGCAAAAAGTGATTACATGCCCAAAGAAATGGTTGAGACCAAAATGCCCATGACGTCAAGTTTTATGCATATCAAATATCATTCAGAAACGACAAAGTATAAATGAAATATGGTTAAAATTAGAAATTAACAAAATGGCGCCTAGATGACGTCACGATCAGTGATATAAGAAATCTGTTAGGATCAATAATCATGCATATGCCACATGCCATGAAAGATTCATGGTCATTCACCATGAAATTCATGAGATATCCATGGCACAAAATGCATACAGAAAAAATAGATTAAAAAACTTAAAATATTTTGACATAATCAAGAGGTGTTCTGCTAAGCTTGGCAGCAGATCACCTAAATAAAAAAAATTAGCAAATTTTTCACTAATGGACAATGTAGATTACACATCACTGTTATGTATCACTTTCACTATATGAGTTATATTGTGACACATCAGTGTTTTTCCTTCTTGCCGATTGTTTTCTCTAACTCCTCCTCATCGTCATCATGGTCATCATCGGTATCGTGTCCAAAAAGTTGGCGTCGCACAAGTCCAGCATAGAGGCCATTGGAGCTGATGAGTTCCTGGTGCCTGCCCTGCTCGACAACCTGCCCCTGGTCAATGACCACGATGCGATCTGCCTTCTCGATGGTGCTGAGACGATGGGCTACGATGACTACAGTGCGTGTGTCAAAGTTCTTCGTAAGTGCTTGTTGGACCTGTAGTAATATGATAAAATATGTTTCATTGTTACTTTGAAATCCATTAAAGTGTGTAGATGAGTTTATGTCTATGTCTATTCATGCAATGAACTCTACATTTTCATGGACTGAGAAATTTATACCACTAACTTCATCTTTAGTCAGATTTTATCAGCAAAGTTAACCTCAAGTGATCTTTGATCTATAATATCTTGCCTACAATTCATTCTATATAATCTTTGGTGCTCCATAACCCTGTGTCAGTTTTTGGAATTCTGAGTTATTTCAAAATTTGTGACCCAAATGTTTTCATGAACCATTGTTAGAACCCATGTCTCACTCTCAGTATACAAGCAAGCTAACAGTTATTGAATTTAAAAAGATGATTCAAATCATTTCCTTTTTACATCGGGGGGGGGGGGGGGGGGGGGGGGGGAGGGGGAGGGGGAGGGGGGAGGGGGAGGGGGAGGGGGAGGGGGAGGGGGAGGGGGGGGTAGGTGATGTCTGCCTGTACTGAGAGCTACTCAATTACTTACCAAGTGCTCGCTCTCTGCATCTAGAGCACTGGTAGCTTCATCTAGGAGCAACATCTGAGGGTTCCTCACCAACGCTCTGGCTATAGCCACTCTCTGCTTCTGGCCACCTATAACGCAAATCAAAGAAAAACACATTGAATTCTTTCTGTGAATGCACTCCCTTGACACATGAAGATGACATTGAAGAGGGCATCTACAAGTTTGTACTCTTTAAGAAAAATTGATGCCTCTGTTCAGGGACGGATCCAGGGGGGGGGGGCACAGGGGGCATGTGCCCCCCCCCCCTCCCCGCTTATTCAGTGGCTGGCTGAGTCGTTGCGATTTTTTTGGGACCCCCAAAAAAATAAATATATATATGCCCCCCCGGGAAGAAATTCCTGGATCCGCCCCTACCGTTATAGAGACATTTTACAAACCCAAAGAGAAGCAATTTTTAAAATTCAAATTTGATTGTAATCCATGACAGGTTCTCAGATTAAAAGCTATTTTTCAAATACATGTATGAGCCTTTGATATTTGATCTCATAACCCTAAAATCTAATCAGTTCATTATAAAGATAATGCATTCACAAGCTATTTTTGCATACATATTGACATGGAAGCCTTGAACTGCTGTGCCCGAGCCTGTGTGGAGCACTGAACGGGACTTGTGTAGTGACTTGATAGGAAGATACATATTGAGCCCCATGACCTTTGACCTCATGACCCTAAAATCTAATCAGATCATTGGCTCTGCAAGATATATACATGTCCCCAGTTTGATGGTAATTTGGCTATCGGTTCTAATGATAATGCGACTACAAGCTATTTTTGCATACATAATGAGCCCTTTGACCTCGTGACCTCAAAATCCGATCAGTTCATTGACTCTGCAAGATACATAAATGACCCAAGTTCAGCTGGAATCCATCAATCAGTTCTTGAGATAACGCATTCACGAAAACGGACGATGTAAGGACGGACAACCCGAAAACATAATGCCTCCGGCTACTTTGTAGCGGAGGAATAAAAATGGTCATTACCTGATAACTGAAGTCCCTTCTCTCCCGTCTGAGTCTGATAACCCTTATTGAGATGAACGATGAAGTTATGTGCATTGGCTTGCTTGGCAGCACTCTCGATACGTTCCTTAGAGCAGTCCTGCAGGCTGTAGGAGATGTTATCATGGATGGATCTGGCATAGAGTACTGGCTCCTGACCAACAAGGGCAATCTGAAGAAGAAAAACAAAGACAAAGTGATTAGTAATCTGAAAGTAAACGGGAATGAATTACAAAATTGCTTTACCACGTACGTCAAACCCTACAGAATATGTTAGCTTTGATGTATCTGTTGCATGGTGTTCTAAAGAAAATAATAAAGAGCTTAGTTTTCTTGTAGTAAACAGTAGTGCAGATACTTACTCCTGTGTATAGTATGGAGTGGATGTGTATGGAGGACAGACGTAACTTGTAATAATAAGTCCAAAATTTTTCCATGATTGAAAAATACAACAAGGAAATTATTCCACAGCACTTTTCAAGTGCATATGAAATGCACTACAGCGTCGAAGTTATGTAGTGTAGTGTAGTGTATAACTATATCATCACTACCAACATCGACATCATCCTTATCTCCTCCATCATCATTGTCTTTATTATCCCTGTAATAATTTCAATTTTTTTTTTTGACAAGCCTCCATCTCCCATGCTGAGTATGTGATAAAATTGGCAGGAGTTTCAGCCAATATTCACACAAAGTGCAGTCCTCTGCCCATTTGAAGTACACTTTACACCAATGATGTCTTTTATAAACAGATTGTTTTTCCTCATGCCTACCTTCTGATGTAGGAAAGCATGATCATAGTCCTTGACGTTTCTACCGTCTATCAGCACTTCTCCTGATGTGGGCTCATAGAAGTGTTCTATGAGATTGATACAGGAGCTCTTGCCTCCACCACTGGGCCCAACTAGGGCTAGCACTTCACCAGGGGATGCCGTGAAGCTTACATCCTACGCGCAAAGAAGGAAAACAAAAGTTTCAATATCAAACACTAAGTCACTAACCATATAATTATCTTAAAGACAGAATCCACTGCAATAACTTGCTTTTAATATATGCAGAAAAACAGGAGAAACAGAGCAAACAAAGTTTGAAGAAAATCAGATCACTAATAAGATCACTACACAAATTGCCAAATTGGTAATCAGTTTGTGACATCATTGCATCACTATTTATGAATTGCTTTATATATTTTTTATCAAATTACTTTCCCTTTTTATCCTCAAGAACTTGATTTCCCCATGCCTTTGCCCAGGTTATATGATTTGTATCATATCGCATGCATGACATTTCACAATTTTTTTTTGAACTTTGAAAAATTATATTATTTTCAGGATACTGTATATTCATAATTATTAATTTTCATATAGTTTATTAAAATTCAAATATATTGCTTTATTTCTTTATATAATTCTTTATATAGGTCACAGATTACAAAATGATACACTATATGGCCCGAATCAACACTTCTCCTGTTTGCTGTCACAGATCAAAGGGGAGAATTGGTTTAAGGGTTTGAATATCTGTCTCACACAACTCACAAGATGGATTTCCTAGCATGGTGTCTTCTGGGAGCTTTGTTACCATGTAATGATCACTCGTGATAACACTTTGTGAGATTGTCTGGTCTAGATGACAGCACTTTGACACTTATATGAATAAATATCATTAAGAAACCCAAAAGGAAATTTTTATATCAAGAGTGCATAATTTAAAAGTTCATAATATTTGTGCAAAAAACGGCTCTCCAGGATCCCCTTCCCCTTTCAAAATCCAATAATACTCACATCACCTCTGTTTTCTTACTTTGAGTACTGGAATAGACGGTCTGGTTGGATAGGCAAAGGTGACATTTTTGAACTCCAATTGACCCTCAAACTGCCTGGGTGCAACCCTACCTTCATTCATAATGGTGGGCTTCCTGTCAATCAGTTGAAACACTTTCCTAGAAGCACCTGCAGCCCTTATTAGCGCAGTAGACACATCAGCAATTTTCTGATAACATGAAGTACAAAGGTTAAAAAGTAACTAATTGAGATATCAGAAAGACTTAGGTTATGAAAAAGTCCTTCAAGCCCAACAAAATTACATATGTCTTGTAAAAAAAACTCATCACCTCAAACAAAATTCTACCAAAAAGAAACATTTCTCAAATTATCCATAGTGCATATTATGGATGCTAATGATGAATCAGGAACAAGGATCATCCTTTTTTTTATGAAGGATGCTTTTACAAGAAACTGGAATTGGCTATTACATTCAATGATTTTATGAACATAATACTGGGCAGGACAAAAATATCTGTTGTTCGTTAACAATACCAGGAGAATCGTTTTATCACTTATTTTACCTCAAGGCATACTCCAAGCTCAAATTGATAGAGAATAAAAGAAACCAGCATTCCTCCATTCAGCATGCCCTTCAAGACAAGATGGCCTCCGTAGAAGAGCATTAATTCAAACACCATCAATTCACACATCTAGGGGGAAAAGGTAGGTAGGCAGGCATACAGAGTGAGACTGACTTAGGATCTACAAAATGCTTTGTTGATATGCTTTGTCGCAATTGGGAGAAGATTGATAGTTATTGCTATCATGAAATCAATGGAGGTTGATTGATCATCAAATATTAATTCTTAAATTACAATACTATGGCGTAAGAGGCCAAGTTCTTTTTTGGTTTACTAACTATTTACGAGGCAGACAACAATACGTATCTTTCAAATGTCACAAATTACAAAAGTTAACTATTAAATGTGGAGTACCAAAGGATCTATACTGGGTCCCTTGTTATTTGTTATTTATATAAATGATATTATTAAAGGGGAATTGACCTCAAGGAAAACAGTATGTGGTGGTCAATGGTGTCAAAATTGTCTTTACAGTAGAGTTTTTGTTGTGTTACCCAAGGTTCTGTACTGGGTCCTCTCCTCTTTTGTTTCTTATCTACGATATAATATTCATTTTTAAAGTTTTCCCCGTTTGCTGATGATACATGTGCTCGTAATGTACAAATGAATGTTTCAAATTGATGAGTAAACAGGTAAATTTTAAAAGATTCTTTATGGTTTAAAGTAAATAAATTATTTTTGAATGTATATAACTAAAAGAAATGTCATTGTAAGGTCAAGGAGCAGGTAATTGCCCAATAATTTATTACCTGCTGTTATTGATAATCTCGTTTTAAGATTCCTTGGTGTTGCAATTAATAAATCTTCGGATTGGAATGTGCACATATTAGACATTTTTAAAGACACTTGCTAACAGCGCTCAAAATACACGGGGGCGGTGGGCGATTCGCCCCCGTGAGCTACAAACCAAGGCCCGCTCGGCCCCCCCCCTGGATCCGCGCCTGACCCCCGGCCCCCTTGGGCTGCCAAGTGAAAATGTGATATTAAAGCTTAATCCCTTTTAATGACCATGTTTTCTTTTTCGTTTGCAAGGGGAGAAGAAGATATTTCACGTTAAAGACATAAAGATCAGTGTTGTATGCGTATATATTATATACACAGGCAAGTAGCAGCTATGTAGCTTGTAAATTTGTAAGAGGGAAAATGCTGATTGAAATGATAATGATGATATAGCAAATAATTGAGGAGTATCATAGGTACCAATTAAATGGATATTTGTATAAAAAAGAGCCCCCGTCAGTAATAAAAGAGCCCCCGTGAGAAGGCTCACGGGGGCTCTTTTTGGGGGGGAAGAGCCCCCGTGGACAAAAAATTAATTTGAGCCCTGCTTGCTAAATATGTTAGTATCCTCTCTAAATTAAAATTGATATTGCCTATTACTAGGCAACTGCAACTATATATTTGGGGAAATACTTATACATCACATCTGAACAAATTATATATTTTAGAGAAAAATCTTATAGAAGTATAACAAAGTCACAAATGCAAAGTCCAAGTATAACATTCTTAAAAAGATGCAACTCTTGCTTTTATACGATTTGATTACATTCAATACTCTAATTCTAATGTACTCTGTAAAACATAACACTTTTCATGTAGAGTATAGTAATATGTTCGATCAAATATCAAATATGCCACTCATCAAAAAGACCCTTTTCATCAACCCAAAGTAAGAGTTACGTAAAAATGTAAATACCATTTTGACATGGAGTTATCATTGTTTGTATATTTTGTTTTATACCATAAGTTTTATACTCTTTGTTATTCAGTTATTGTATTTGGAAAAATGCACATCTCAGACTTCATATTTTCCATCTTCCGGAAGATCTTCAATTCTGACAATATTTATTCTTCACCATAGAGTTCCTATGTTCCAACTTACCGAGTTGATGACTGAAAAAAAGCCATAAGCTACAGCTTCCTTCTTACGTAGCAGGTAGGTGATGCGGAGCTTATTCCAGTAGGTCTTCCTCTCCCCTTCTTCATTGGCAAAGCTACGTACCGTCTTCAAGCTAGAGACGGTTTCTTCAGCCACAATGTTAGCGTTGGCCAGAGAAGTCTGAACTTTCTTGGACAGTTTCTGTATTTTAAAGAATGATGCAAACAAAAAATATGAATATTCACATCACAACAATGTGCAATAAAAAAAGTTAGTACAGGAATATATGTCCGTAGAAGAACAGAAACATTGGAAGTCTCATTGTGAACGAATGTCAGCTTCATAACAGCTTTCAAAGACATCAGTGATGACGGCAATAAAAGGAAAGAGATGAGTGTAATGAAGGCGAGTCTCAGGAACACAAAGCAGTATACTAACAAAAGTCTCAGGCTCCAGTAAAAAAGCCAATGTTAAACAGGGAATGCTGCATACTGTTGATTGTTCAATCTTGTTCAATCTTGATTATAAAAGTAAGCTCTCACCTCATAATAGCTTCCAAAGACATCAGTGATGACAGCAATAAGAGGGAAAGAGATGAGTGTGATGAACGTCAGTCTCCAGGAAATAATCATCATAAAGATGATATAACCAATCACTTGGAAGATACTACGAAGAAAGATGATGATGCTATTACTCAGTGCTTCACTGATAGTAACTGTGTCAGACGTGAGGCGAGATGTTATAGCACCTAGAAAAGTCAAATGAAAATGTGACATGAAATTGATTAATTAATTCATTTAATCAACAATGTTCCATTTTCAAGAAGAGATCGGAGCTTAAACTTTTCAACATTTATTTGCCCATGAAAAAACTATTCAACCAAAGTATATCTATGGGTGGCCAAGTGAAGTTGGTGAACATACATAGATATATATATATATATATATATATATATATGTATAAAAGTACATCACTTACCAGTCCTGTTCTTATCAAAGAAGCCTAGTTCTTGTTTAAGAATCGACTCAAAGAGATGGTTGGTGACACGTTGGTTGAGTCTGGCCATTGCCATGTTTAAGAATGCACCTCTAACTCCATCGGCAGCAGCACTGTGTATTGAGAGACAAGTCAATATTGTGTAAATGGGTCGTAGCAACACAACAAATGCTGTACATGAATATTTGTTCATGTTTTTTTTCTTTTAATAAACAGATTTCTTGAGCTTTGTGTTTTGAAAGACCTAGTTTTATCTCTGCCCAGTGCCTTTAAGGCATTGCGATTACATGCCTTTATTTTAATACAGCTCCCATTATGGGTACAAATGCTTCATGTATTGATATTGGAATATCACTTTCAATGAACTTGCTCTCCAAAATATTGCCCCCTCTTACACAAACATTCATTAATGACTTTCAGTTTCATGATATACAATTAAGTTATTGCATTTACAATGTACATTCAAATTACAAAACAAAATGCAATCACCTTAAGATCCTACAACAATCTCCTGTCTATGTATATATACCTTCCACCATACATGTAATGATCAGTCATTATAATCACATGATCATAACAAATTCTTTGATGCTGTATCGGGCATATACCGGTACATCTTTTTCTTTCTTTGTGTTGTTAGGGAACATCAAACTTGCTTATACTGAAATCAGATTGAAGAGATGTTAATTTAGGCTCAGATGCGTAATTGGGGAATAAATTGTCATTCCATCTCTTTATCCCCCCTTCCATACACAGAAGTCCAGATTGGCTTCAGCCTTAGTATTGAAACATTAGTGAATACCGTAAAATTGCTATTAGAATTACCACTAAATACCCCCTCTGCTTCTAAATAATTGCATTCAGTATATACTGGTTGATTTGCGACTGACATCAAGTACCATTCTCAGGAAGATTTTATAAGTTTTGTACACATTTAACAGAAAGCAATAAACAGAATAGCATCAGTCTATTTATTAAGCCTACATCATCACTGTATTCAATTAGCCAAGCGCAATGACGCAGATACATCTTTAAACTATTTCAGCGAACATAGAAATTACTTATTCTAAAACAGTTGCATATATGCCCCTTGTATCAGAGATTAAGGCGTATCTCTTTACTGAATTCATGATTGGAAAGTCTCATATTACACTGTTATTAAACTTACACCCCTATTGATATCAGAGTCATCAATATGATACCATTTTTGAACTGGGCCCTCTCTGCCTCTACAACTACTCCATTCAGAACACGGCCTGTTAATAGTGGCCAGATTACTTCACCTGTAATCAAACAATAACAAATGTATATTATCATCATAAATAGTGACATACATGTACATAAGATCACATAATCAGTTTGACCCCCCTATACTCCACCCAAAAGATAATGTGAGATCAAGATAGGTTAAAATTATTGATCACCACAAGAGAAGTTATTATAAAGTCTTGCGAGGCAAACTTATTTATATATATGGAACTTTTTTTTAATTTGAATTTAGCACAATGCACTGTAAATGTAAAATAAAGATTGAATTTCTAATAGATACAAACATAGTTTGCCCTATAATTTGCAAGTATCAACCTAAACTTTTAAGCCCTACCGGCAACTCGACTGAAGGTTGTCCGGGAGCTTCTTAGGAAAATAATTGTAATCATAGTCCTTTGTTAAAAAGTATCCATTAACTGAAATGTACAGCTTTACCATCTATATTTTGCTCATATTTACATCGTTACAAAGCTTTACTTGTTCATGCAGAGTTAATAAAATTAAACTATAAACATGGGCCCCGTTTTATAAAGAGTTGCAATGGATCCCAATTAATTGTTATTTTACAGTCTCCTATCTCTTGCGTACATAGTTGCAATTGATCAATCAAAAATAAGTTGTGATTAATATATACTCTTTATAAGACGGGGCCCTGGAAAGCTAAAATAATGTATAAGCAACTGTTTTTGCATTATTATTTTCTTTCCTAATTTACACATTATTCTGTAAGAGCCTAATCATAAGGATGTGCAATACCGGTTGGCCCTACCTATCTTTACATTTTGTTATTATTAGATTGCTGAGACTTTAAAGGCAGGGTAAGTCCCTTTTGCAGACTTGTGTATACTCCTGAAACTTGGAGAGTATTAGAAATATATCCTTCAGATATCGTGTGTGAAATTTTGTCATTTGGTAAGAGGTTCCTAATAATAGACCTCTTCAATATACCACTGGATTCATGGAACTTCAGGGTTTAGGTCTGCAAAAGGGGCAAATCATCTTTAAGAATTGTTAACACTTACCTGCTGTTGCACACATAAGAGCAATGAAACCCACTAGCAAGAAGGGCCAGTCACCTTTTGAGTAAGCCAATAATCTCATGAACAAAGAATACCACTTGACAGATTTCTTTTTTTTCTTTCCTTCATTGTCATCGTCATCTTCATCATCATCATCATCATCACTAGAGCTGTCGCTACTTTCATTGTCACTACTGTTCTCACTTTCACTACTGCAACTCCTCTCCACATTTTTGTCTTCGTTTATTAGTCCTTGAGTATCACCCTCCAGATTAAAATTACGTTCCTCAGAGGGTCTTGCCTCTTGTAGAATGTATACCCACAGGCCGTACATGGCAAGAGATGCTACCAGTGTCCACACACCTAACGTCAAAAACCATGGGTCATCGTCATGGTTACCATCACTGTACTCCGTATATAACATGATTTTTGCCATGGCATACAGGATCATGACGATATTGATGAAACCGACGGGATACCTGGCTATCTTGATGCCCTTGGCACCATTTTTTGGATTCTTGATGACTCCTATAGTGGCACCCAGGAGGATCACTACCCTCAACATGGAGAAGAGCCATAGTTCAAACGTTGAGTGTGTGAAGTTATAGTCAAATACATCCTTATCGAACAACTCGTAATTGTTCCCATGGAGGTAAAAGACGCAGCCAAAGAAGGCATCCGCAGAGCTGAAGAGCAGCGTCACTGATGCACTTGTGTACAGCTTCATTGCTGCAGTCAACTGCCCCTAGCTATTGTGTTTGAAAGAGCACAAAAAAGCCCTCAGTTTGGGCATTCCATCTCCTTCATCAATAGCCGAACACACCCTTAATACTGGACACAAAATTCAATGGGATAATGCCCCCATTACTGACCTTAAAAACGCATTTCACATCAATAACGGTTGAAGAATCCATCTGGATAAGAAGATTAATCCTTTAATGAATAGGGTTCATTGCTATATATTACCTTTCTTTGCACCAGTGATCTCGTGGGTCAGACAGCAAGAAATTGTGTTAACAATAAAAACTGCATTGGAGTGGTTGTTAGAAGCTCTACATAAAAACACACACTCTCTCAAATTTTATACAACAATGATAAGTAAGAAGTGGAAATACCTAGGATCCATGAACAAAGAATGAGAACAAAGCAGAACAGATGATTACAGATGAGATGGAAGACTTGGTAAGTAGAGGAGATGAACGGAAGGAATAGGCTATTTTGTAATGTTACTAAATTTAATGCATAAGTCTTTGTGAAGTGCCTCAATACAAATTATTTCATTCACCTGATAAGAAAAATAGTATTTCAATAAACAGAATGCAAACTGCATATATAAGTGTTGCTAGGAAGGTCAAGCCATAATGTTTCTCCTACCTGGCAACAATTAATGTATGCAGTTCAGATATTGTCTATTGAAATACTATTATTTCTTATCAGGTGAATGCAATAATTTGTATTGAGGCACTTCACAAAGACTTAAGGTATGCATTAAATTTAGTTACATTACGAAAATGGCCTATTGGGTGGAGTATTTGAAGTAAATGAATATGTAAGCAAATAAGCAAATGATGTAAAATGAATATGTATAGAGGGAAGAGACTAGAGAAATAAATAGTAATTGTAACAAATACAAGTATAGATGAGTCTAATTTTAACTCTTAAAAAATAGAGGGAAGAGACTAGAAAAATAAATAGTAATTGTAACCAATACAAGTATAGATGAGTCTAATTTTAACTCTTAAAATTAGACTCATTCATGGGCGTAAATCCTTACGTAATACCTATTGTTCAAGGGTGGGGGGATGATCTTTTCATTCACCCCCCCCCTGAACAATAGGTATTACGTAGGGATTTACACCCATGGACTCATTCTACACTTGTATTTGTTATTATATTCCACATACTAAGAATCTTGCTCTACGATTGGTCATGAGTAAATCACGTGATCAAAGATAGTTCGCCCATCATTGATGGGAGAAGCAAAAAGTTTGTTGCCCTTTGTAGATAGTACTACTATCTACAAAGGACAACGCACTTTTACTGAAGATAGAGGTACTATCTACAAAGGGCAACGCACTTTCACTGAAGATTATCCAAAAGCGCACTAAAACAGGCGTAATTAAGCGCGCATTACCAATGAGCGCAATTAAAACAAACACATGCGCGCACCGTACCCTACTACCCTCAAGGGGTTGGGTTATAAACTTTTTATTTTTTTTTGGTGTGAATTTGGGCCTAGGTGTCTTTTATGTAGATGCATACACGTCCTTTACTTTTTGTAATTAAATTGTTTTAGATGTGGAATATAAAGCAAATAATCACCTTTTGTTTTCAGGCAATGGCAAACTATCACTTCCTCGTCGATCAGAATGTATACGCTATCTTTCCTCAGCTTCGCTTCGGAAAGATAGCTACATCCATATCGCCTCGGAAGTGATAGTTTGTCCCATCACCTTCACCAACGGTAATTATTTGCTTACTATTACTATTTGTTTCATTGGTAATTCTCTTCTTCTTTTTCCTTTTTAATATTCAGTCTTACTCCTAAATCCCATTTACTTCTTCAAAGTAATCTGAAGAAGTTTACAAGCAATTTATATAAATCTTTTAAGATGGTGTTGGAAATTAGTAATAGAAACAATAAATCAAATCAAATCAAAATCAAAAGACAAATATTTAGGGTCAGTGCTTTTTCTTGCATATATTTTGTTATATACTTATACCCTTTTCTAACTGGCCTGATTTTCATCGGATGCATCCGGACGCCTCCGATGAAATGGCCAGTATGAAAGCAACAGAGGAGAAAAAGGCGATTAAATAGCCGATGAAAAGAAAAGAAATAGGCGATTAAATTCTCATTCTATCGGTGTGACACCGATGAAACAGCCACTGTGAAGCGTTCGGGAGAAAAAGGTGATTAAATCAGCGATTAAAATGATCAAAGGTCGCAGTGTACGCGCGCTTTATCGTAACCAGCTGTGTTTTTTTACTTTTGGTTGAACATGCTGCATGCTAGCTAGATGGAGCGCGGGCTTAATAATTACGCAATAATTCTTCACTTCCGGCAAGGGCTCGCCACAGCGAGTGAATTTCACTGGCAGTATGAAAGCGACAGGGGGGAACTGCGGTTTCACCTTTGTTTACATAAGGAAAATTCAATCAGTATTTTCATCGGTGTGACTCTGATAGAAGCCAGTTTGAAAGCAGTATAAGGCAAAAGAAAAGGCTATATTTCTATTAAGCATCCTCAGACACACAACCCCCTTTGGTCTAAATTGGTAGAGTTTAGCCTCTCTTAACTTCTTAAAGGTTATACAAAGCTTTGGTATGGGGTCATGAAATTGGTTCAAATGAACATATTTAAAGCATATGCAATCCTACAATATTCAATGGTCCTTGTCGCGGTTGAAATAGAGTCTAAAGTGATGAAATTGTAAATAATAAACTGTATATGTTGTATAGCTCCATCTCAAGGTCAAGATATTAATTAATCCTTAAAACAACATTTCTTGACTAAAATCGACCAGTTGGCGATTCCCATTTGGAAATTAAATATCACATCTACATATTCTGAGATTTTCATTGTCGCAGCTCACATGGTATGGCCGTAGGCTCTATTTGAAATTTATGAAAATTTCCAGGGAGCACCGGTAAACTTTGATACCGGTATTAGATTTTTCTCAAAAGCAGAAGTGTTTTAGGGGCTTAATTTTCTAGCGCTTATAATACATCAACAGGGGCATCAAAATATATAAATATTGTAAAGAATCACTATCCATCCCATTTTCAAAATTTCACAAAACTTTGCATAACCTTGAAGGGGATTGCGGTAGGGGGACAAAAGACACGCAGTGCCACGGATGACTTTTAAGGGGCCTCTTTTATCACCATCCATTACAACTCCCTGGTCTTACTCATTTCTTGACATACATAGTACACATGCACACACACTTTTTTTTTTTAATTTAAATTTCATTCATATCAAAACAATAAGAACACAATATATACAAAACAAATGCAAATACAAATAATTTAATATCAAAACAATACAAATAACTCTTACAGCACATGTTGCAGGCGCGGATCCAGGATTTTCCAATGGGGGGGGGGGGGAGGCGCAAATTTGAATATCGCGCAGACCGTTATTTCAACTCAACATATCAATACTGACAAGTTCATAATAGAAGCACCGTACCAGTACCTACAAGCGGGCAAAATTTTGGAAAGGGGGCAGGTTCACGTCACGTCGCCTGTCCGATATCAGCATTCCCTGTTTTTAATATTATGCAACATGTTTATCAGGGGGGGGGGGGGAGGGGGCCTGAAGCCTCTTGCCTGAATATTAATTTTCTTGTTTCACAATTTTCCCAGAATGCCTGACCGGAGCGTAGGTGATTGGACCAAATGAAGCCAAAGCCCGACAGGCTAGCCTGAGCAATGTTCACAATACAAATATTCGCAATCGCATTCATGCAATGGGCATACACAAGTTTTGTAATACCGGTAAAGTATAAAGTAGACAGAACAATTATCAACTCTTACCACGGCCCACTTCCGACCAGTGAATGTTGGCGAATGTAAATACAGCACAAAGTGAACAGCACAATATGTTTACCGTATCTTACCACGGCCCAATGCCCAAATATAGAGAAATAAAAAATTGTATGGAAAAGACTTCTAAATTATCAAAATGATTATTACTGGTATGTTTTCTCCAATCAACTCTACCTCAACACAAGGACTCAGCGCTAGCTGTTTCTGACGCATTTTAGATGAATTTATGACTCAAAAATACTTATGTTGATTTCTGATTATTCTCTGTCCATTGCAAAACACATACTCTTTTGGAATTGTATGGTTTACTTTAGGTTTTAAAGTTTAATAATGAGAAATAACGAATTAATTATACGGACTAGCACAATCTTATGCTCAAGTTGTGGGGTCCAGGGGACATGCAGAGCCCACGGAAGCCCAACGGTTTTTGGTATTCAATTACGGTCAGATGAGCATATTTTGATACCTCATTTCTTTCTCTCTTTCTTTCATTTTCTCTTTAACATACTTTTTCAAAAAAGTGAGGGGGGCTTGAGCCCCGCCGTTTTGCAGGCCCTGATTGTAAATTTTGTAATTTTTAAATGCATGAAAAAGAATATTTTACAAAAGAAATTGAGAAAAAACCCAGAAAATCATGTTTTTTTAGCAACATTTTGTAAATCACTGGTAACGAATTAGAAATAAACCACAATTGAATTTTATGGGGGGGGGGGGCAACTGCCCCCCCCCCCATCAGTACGCTAGTGTTCAGTGGCCCATGTCTTCTCACCCCTATAATAAAAAACACACACACTTTCCTCTCACAATATTTCCACAATATAGGCGTATCGCTATTATAAAATCCTCCATTGATAAATATAGGGGCATGTGGAATGTTTAGGAAATTTAATTCCTTTTTACTCTCCTTTTCTTTGAATGGAATATAACTTTTTGTGATTCGATTCATCTATTATTGTTATTTATTTTCTTTTTGGTTAAAAAAGACAAACCATTTTTACTCCTTTACTGCTGATTTTTTTCTTCGGGGGGGGGGGGGGGGGGAATTTTTTTTTTTTTGGGGGGGGGGGGCTCTACTAGCAACTAGTAATGTATACAATTTGAATTTCGACAATGTGTTTCAGGACATACAGTGAAATTTGTTTTTCGCTTGTATCTTACAAACCATTCTTATTTCTCATTTATCAATTATAAAGACTATAATTACTCTATACAATGCAAACCTTCTCAAAACCACTATATGCAAGTCAAATTCAAAGGAGAAGTTATCATACACATCGGATTTGGATACACAAGGCAACTGGTCCACATAATGTTAAACAGCCAATGAAAAAAAATGTATAGATGTATACTCTCTTTGAAGGGCCATTGGTACAAGAGCATCCGTATAAATGTAATTGGTTTGCAAACATTGCAAACATTTGCAAAGTGCAAACACAAGCTTAAGCTCACACCGAAGCTAGATGCGCAGCCCGTTGGACATGGCCAACGGCAATAACGTGTTGTTGCTATTGGACGCCATGTCACTCTCCATGTCAGGGCCAGAGCGAGTATGGCATGCGTCCAATTGTAGAATAAATGGGAAAATAAAGTCATGAATACACATATAAAGGTCCACAGTCCATGCAATGCCATGTATTTTATTGACATTCATATTTGCCAAAAAACTCACCGATTCTGTCTATTATTCGGATCAAGTCTGGTAAATCCATCCCCTCTCCACTCACACCACCGGCACCGTCAGCCTCTTCCACCCAGGTCACCCGCCCCTCTGGTTCATGCTGGTACGCTTGTGGTAGTGCAGCTCTGCCTCTGTGGCCATCATCACCGTCACTGAGTTCATACTCTATTTCAAATTCTCCTAACTCCCCATCATCGTTGTCACTATCACTACTTGAAGCAGAAGACAAATCTGAACCAACGTCTTCAATCTCAATGTCAAGGTGCAGTTCAGGTGCCGACATTTATGATGATGTTGTACAAGATTGACCTTGTGAGTGAGAATGTTGCATTGCATGCTATATATTCACATCATCATGACGAGCGCTACTCTCCCGATACTGACATCATCATTTGGAGGGTCCATCAGGGTCGAAAGTGGGGGTAGCAAACTCATCATTTTTGTTTTAGAAGACCATTCTGTTTATTTCATTGTCGTAGTTGGGAATTTCGATATATGGGTCCACAACAATGTCATATTTCATTAGATACCAAATACAACCCAGTTAAAAATAAATATAGTTCTACTTTATACAATAGATTTGATATTCATTTCATTTTGGACAAAATCTGTTTCATAATTTGATGTCAATACGTACCATATGCATACCCATTTTAACTTTTATGTTAAATATTTCCAAAAAGGTTCCTCAAATTACAATCCTCAATCTCCCCTAATATCTTGGTGTGAAAAAGAGGATGTACTATAGAAAATACTGACCAAAACTGAATCAGTAAATCAAATAATTGCAAGAAAAATAATTAAGCAAATTTCCACTAATGGCTTGGACATCACTTTAATGTATCACTTTCACTATCAGTACGTGAGCTGGATTGTGACATATTGGTGTCTTTCCTTCTTGCCAAATGTTTTCTCTTCTTCTTTTTATTCTCTAACTTCTCCTCATCATCATCATGGTCATCATCAGTATCATGTCCTAATAGTTGGCGTCGCACAAGTCCAGCATAGAGGCCATTGGATCTGATGAGTTCCTGGTGCGTGCCCTGCTCGACAACCTGCCCCTGGTCAATGACCACGATGCGATCTGCTTTCTCAATGGTGCTGAGACGATGGGCTACGATGACAACAGTATGTGTGCCAAAATTCCTTGAAAGCGCTTGTTGGACCTGTCAAGTAATATGATAAAATATATGTACCGTAATTAACGGTGTATTAACCACACTTTTTTGCCGCCGAAAAAGATTCAAAGTCGGGGGTGCAGCTTATACACATTTTTTTTTTTTTTTAAAGTTTCGATTTATGCCCCTCAACCTGGCGCTATGCCTGGCAATGTCTCCCAGCTCAGTAATTGGTGTGTTGACTCACCACTTGGAAACGAGAACAACACTCAAATTTGTCTGTCATCTTGGTTTGAATGTAATCTTTCTGATAGATCTCAATATGTAGTTTATAATAATAATTCCTACACACTGCGTACCACAAGGTTCTATCCTAGGTTCTCTACTGTTTTTTAATTTACATTAATGATCTTACACATTCAACTGCACCTCGCAGTTAAATGAAAGGCCTTCCCGCGTGGGTTTTTTAACACAGACCTGGCTTGCTGCCGACATTAAGGGCGAAAAAGAGGGGTGCGGTTAATACACGAGGGCGGTTTATATAACGTTAATTAAGGTAATAGTTACTTTGAAATCCATTAAAGTGTGTAGATGAATTTATGTCTATTATGTCTATTCATGCAATGAATTCTATTTCTAAATTTATTTACCAGTGCATTTCCTAATAATTTTCATATGTCACACCACCAGTGTTTCGGACGTTACACACTGTTAACGTCATAACTTTATTCAAGTTAATTGCTTTTCTTTAGGTATTATTGACCTAATTTACATTAATTGTTTGCAGAAAAATATTTCTTTAACATTTATTGAAAAACTTGTGCAGTTTTAATTAGTTTTGCACATATACCTAGTTTGTCTTCATGGACTACTCAATTTATGTAAGGTATACTGTTCATTTCAGGAACGTGTAGTTAAAAATGCTTATGTGATTTTACAAAGTGAAATATGAAGCTAATAGCAATCTTAGTCATCACAACTCCTAGAAAATTCACTTACAAACATACTCTCTTTTACAGGTTATGAACGAAAGTGTACAATATATGCTATAGTTTGTTTCGGATGTTACACGATGTGAACATTTCAATCAGATCATCAATTTCTACAAACTTTACAACATAGATGTTTAATCGGCTTGCTTTGTACTTCATGTAGTGTGTCATTCAATAATATCACTATCACATACATGTACATGTACAGTATGTACAGTGTAAGCAAAACATTACAAAAATACAAAAATACAAAAATATCCCCAGCCATTTAAGTAATAAGAAATATGGGAATCCTAATTCATTGTACATCCCGATATTTTTGCATAAATTTGAGGAAGATACTATATCTTTAGGATCATGAAATGATCACTAACATGTACATTTTGTTATGAGGGTCAAGCATTTGAAAAGTATTTGTACATAAGGCTAGTACATTTGAGGGTAATTCATCAAATTAAAGGAAACTAGATGGAATTTTGACTGCGTGCAGTCGAAAATGATGCCTCCGCCATAGAGCAATTTAAACAAGTTTGGAGTTTAAATCTCCAGTGGTTCTTGAGATATCATGATAACAATCTCAATGTATGGAATTTCATAAGTTGACCTCTGTGACCCTTGACCTTTGACCTACGTGCTCCAAAATTTAATCAGATTGTCTTCCTATGGGGATACACACTATCATTAAGTTTGAAGTTTAAATCTCCAGTGGTTCTTGAGATATTATGATATGGTGATACATACTATCATTAAGTTTGAAGTGAAAATTCTCCAGTGGTTCTTGAGATATCGCGATAACGATCTCAATGTATGGAATTTCATAAGTTGACCTCTGTGACCCTTGACCTTTGACCTACGTGCTCCAAAATCTAATCAGATTGTCTTCCTATGGTGATACACACTATCATTAAGTTTGAAGTTTAAATCTCCAGTGGTTCTTGAGATATTATGATAACAATCTCAATGTATGGAATTTCATAAGTTGACCTCTGTGACCCTTGACCTTTGACCTACGTGCTCCAAAATCTAATCAGATCGCCTTCCTATGGTGATACATACTATCCTTAAGTTTGAAGTTTTTACATCTCCAGTGGTTCTTGAGATATCATGATAACAATCTCAATGTATGGAATTTCATAAGTTGACCTCTATGACCCTTGACCTTCGACCTACGTGCTCCAAAATCTAATCAGATCGTCTTCCTATGGTGATACATACTATCCTTAAGTTTGAAGTTTAAATCTCAAATGGTTCTTGAGATATCATGATAACAATCTCAATGTATGGAATTTCATAAGTTGACCTCTATGACCCTTGACCTTTGACCTACGTGCTCCAAAATGTAATCAGATTGTTTTCCTATAGTGATACACACTATCACTAAGTTTGAAGTTTAAATCTCCAGTGGTTCTTGAGATATCACGATAACAATCTCTATGTATGGAATTTCATAAGTTGACCTCTGTGACCCTTGACCTTTGACATACGTGCTCCAAAATCTAATCAGATCGTCTTCCTATGGTGATACATACTATCCTTAAGTTTGAAGTTTAAATCTCAAATGGTTCTTGAGATATCGCGCTAACAAACTCAATACAAGGAATTTCATAAGTTGACCTCTGTGACCTGTGACCTTTGACCTACGTACTCCAAAATCTAATCAGATCGTCTTCCTATGGTGATCAATACTATTCCCGAGTCTTAAGTTCAAATCTTACATGGTTCTTGAGATATTGTGAGAACGGTCAAAGGGGACGGACGTACGGACGGACAACCCGAAAACATGATGCCTCCGGCACCACCTTCGGTGGCGGAGGCATAAAAATTATGAATTAATTAATTTTGAAGAGGCTACACCTTATTTTCATGTTCATGCTTTAATTACCCCCACAAATTGGTAATCCATTTTCTTGTCATTTGGAAATTTGGCAGATCTACAGCTATATGAACATTATGTTGTACAAGTTTCTATAATAGGAATCAGATACTAATTACTGATTATTGTTTTATAATGGAAGCCTTTGTGCTCATCAATTGTACATGTATGCAACCAATGAGTGTGTCATGTAGTGTGCAAGCCAATTTCATAAAATTGCTTGATAAATTGTTATCATTATTAAGCGTAAATGCCAATTCCAGTTTTGGATAATGGCAGTAGAAATCCTTTCTACATAGATTAGTTACATGTACTGAGTGCCCTTTTAAAATGTATTTTCAGATGAAAATACATATTTCCCATAAATTTTTAGAAAAACATTTTTAATTTGCTTGATTTTATCAACTTCATATACCTGTATCATATCCATGTCATGACCATGTACACTGGGTATTGCTTAAGTGGGTGATTTTGACTTATGTAACCTACCGGATAGTGTAAATTGACCATACAATCTTTGGTTATATGCAGGGCTCAAATTAATTTTTTGTCCACGGGGGCTCTTCCCCCCCAAAAAGAGCCCCGTGAGCCTTCTCACAGGGGCTCTTTTAGTGCTGACGGGGGCTCTTTTAGTACTGACGGGGGCTCTTGTTTATACAAATATCCATACAAGCTACATAGCTGTTACTGACTTTCATCCCCTGATGACTTCTCTTGATTTTTTTCCGTTCTGCACATTATTTCCTCCTCATTATTCGGAGCAACCTTTACATTCTTTCTTTACTGAGCCGCGTAGCGGCGAGGCGATTTTGTGTGTGTGCTATTTTGGACAGGCGCGGATCCACGGGCCGATTCTACCACCCCCCCCCCCCTAGCCTCACCAACCAGTAAAAAATAGGATAGTAACGTACATTTTACCTTAAGAAATAAAATAGAAAACGCCCCCCCCCTGACCTGCCAGTGACACAAATGCGGCATCAAAATATTTGTGCTTCTCTGACCGTAATTAAATGCCTAAAACCTCTGAACCCCCCCCCCCCCCCCCCCCACCAATTTACGTTTGCTACCCTCTACCTGATCGTAAATACTTTAGACCCCCATTTTGATAAACATTCCGCGGGGCCTGTGTATATAATATATACGCATACAACACTGATCTTTAGGATGTCTTTAACTTGACATATCTTCTTCTCCCCTTTCAAACGAGAAAGAAAACAAGGTCATTAAAAGGGATTAAGCGACAAATAATGATTGTGATTCAAATTGATGCGAATATTTGTTTAAATATGAACTGCTATTCACCCGAATCTTCTTTGTAAAAATAACTTTTACAAATCTCTGCCATGCTTACTGAGTTGAGACGTTCCATTCAATGTAAAATACTCATTAAAGAATACATTTCTCCTAATCTGAAAGTGATCTTACAACACAGTGGCAGATTTGCATGGCTGTGATTTGTAAAAGTCGTTTTTTCAAAGAAGATTCTGGTGAAAAGCATTGCTTATTCAAAAAAATCCTTGCAAAAATTTGAATCACAATGATTATTTGTCGTATGATCCTTTTATTAAATAACCTTGTTTTCCTTTTTGTTTGCGGGGGGAGAAGAAGCTATGTCACGTTAAGAAATCATAGAGATCAGTTGTATTATGCGTATATACATATGATACCAGAACAAAATATTGATTATCAGAATGTCATTTTGGAATACCTCTATACAAGTACTTTAGCTCGTATCAGTATTAGTATGAGCCAATATAAAGCTATTATTCTTTATTCAGATCAGTATAATGATTTTCCTCAAAAATAGTTTTGCTATTTTTTTAGGGTTGAGACGCTAAGAAATGGTTTCAAATGTACATTACACAACCCTGAACCATTGCAAAATGATGGTGGTTCCCTCTCTCTCTCTCTCTCTCTCTCTTTATTTTAATCATGCATTATCAACTACATATATAAAGCAGCAACCAAAAACTTAGGGTTATCTGAGATAGGTCAAAGTAAGAGTTAAAAAGAAAGTCATGCTAAAACGGCGCTTCACTCCCCCCCCCCCCCCTTGAAAAAAATAAAATAGATTAGTAGTCCTCCTCTCCAGCATTCCCCCGCTTTAATATTCACCGGCCGGCTTAGTCGGCCCAAAAATGTTCCCAAAAAACAAATATATGCGCATTTATCCAGCCCCCTCACATGTGACGTCCTTTTAAGCACTGGCAGTGCCTTAAAAGGAGGTCACACGTTGCAGTCCACGTTCTCATCGTGCAAATCTAAAAGTCCCTAATATTGATTTACTGGTCGTGGTTCATTATTTGCTGGTCATTTAAAATTACCAGATTTTAGCGGGTTTACGCTTTCACAACGAAAAACTTCTCCATGACCATGTTTCTGCCCTTGCGTGATCGCCTCCAGCTCCAGCAGACATGGCGCGGCAGCGTGCACACGTACCGTTACTAACGGCGCAGTAGGCCTATAACCACTGCTGACGGCGGCACTGCACTGCAAGCTGAATCGGTAATAATTAATAGGCCTACTCATAGAACGGGAAATCTTGCACGCTAATCTAATTTCTGTTTCATTGGTTTAAGGTTTGAAAATTGAAACTAAATATTGTGTTAAAGTTATAACAGAAAAGATAATCTTTATTCTATAATTCCACGGGGGCGATTTTTAATTTTGCAATCGCCCCCGTGAGCAACCTGACGGGGGCGATTATATAGCTCACGAGGGCGAATCGCCAACCGCCCCCGTGTATTTTGAGCGCTGGTTATATGACATCATTCGAAACAACTTCTATAAAAATGTAAACCTCATGATTTGCAAACACACACCAATGTAAATAGCAAACGGAGAGGTTGAACAATTGAAATTTGCCGTTCTCACATCTATCATTGCCCCTCAAGTATGAAAATGTCTGTTAACAGTTTAATGTAACGTACGAAACGTGCTAACAGCATACCAGAAAATGCTGTTAAAGTGGCTGAATATTTGTTATGAGTCACTTTTGTTGAGATTTTTTCTGATAAATTACAATTAAGGATATACTGAAGCAGCCAGCCATGCCTTGCATCACAAAGTGTGGCTTCAATACTTTATGTTTTATAAGTCAATTTTGCAGAAAATTTAGATATTTTACGGATTATTTGATTTTTGGCATCATATTTCTACACATTTTTATATTTAAATCTAAATAAAATCATCAAAATAGTGTTTTTAACAGGAGTGTCTATTGTGAAATGGTAACTTACAGATATGATTTAACTGATTTCTAATTCTTTATCTTTGTAAAGTTTCAGGCTCTCAAAAGGCCATTTAGCTATTTGGTCATAGTTAAAAAAAAACCAGTGCCATAGTTAACCTCAAGTGATCTTTGACCTATGATATCTGACCTACAATTCATACCATATCGTATGCCGGCTGGCAAAAGGGCTGGCAGAAGGGCGTTAGCGCGCAGGCGGCTCGAAAACTACTTTTCGAATTATGCACATTTAAAGATTTGTTTTATATTTAAACTGCTTTCCGTCCCGAAAAAAAAGACTACCGTAATAGAAATGTTATAGTAGAACACGGCCACAATTTTTTTCTCAGAAATAAGTCAGTTTTATAAAAATTTGAGGCAATTTAGTGCTAACGCCCTTCTGCTTAAAGCTTCATTTTTTATCTGAAATTCGAGCTAACGCCCTTCTGTCAGCCAGGCAACGATATACTCTGTGGTGCTCCATAACCCTGTGTCAGTTTTCTGGAATTCAGAGTTATTTTAAAACCTGTGACCTAAATGTTTCCATGCACCATTGTTAGAACCCATTTTTCACTCTCACTATACAAGCAAGACAAAAATGATTAAATAAAAAACTAGATGGATTCAAATCATATCTCTTACCAAGTGCTCGCTCTCTGCATCAAGAGCACTGGTAGCTTCATCTAGGAGCAACATCTGAGGGTTCCTCACCAAAGCTCTGGCTATAGCTACTCTCTGCTTCTGGCCACCTACAAAGCAAATCAAAGAGAAAACATTGAATTCTTTCTGTGAATGCATTCCCTTGAAACATTGAAGAGGGCATCTAAAAGTTGATAACTTGTTGGTGGCTTCTATGTATGTTTTAAACCAAGGCTCAAGTGATGGACCCTCTCCCATAGGAAAGTGAAAAGTATGCCGCAGACCTGCCGCAGACCTGCCGCAGATCTGCCGCAGACCTGCCGCAGACTTTTAGTCTGCGGCAAAGAGTATGCCGAAGTATGCGGCAGAAAGAAATTTTGCTGCAGACTTGCCGCATACCAGTATGCCACAGGAACAGTCTGCAGCAGATCTGCGGCAGGATGAAATTTTGCTGCAGACTTGCCGCATACTAGTATGCCACAGGAACAGTCTGCGGCAGATCTGCGGCAGGATGAAATTTTGCTGCAGACTTGCCGCATACTAGTATGCCACAGGAACAGTCTGCGGCAGATCTGCGGCAGGATGAAACTTTGCTCCAGACTTGCCGCATACTAGTATGCCACAGGAACAGTCTGCGGCAGATCTGCGGCAGGATGAAATTTTGCTGCAGACTTGCCGCATACCAGTACGCCACAGGGACAGTCTGCGGCAGATCTGCGGCAGGATGAAACTTTGCTCCAGACTTGCCGCATACTAGTATGCCACAGGCATAGGCGCCGGAAGTGGGGGGGCAGGGGGGGCAGTTGCCCCCCCAGTCAAAAAAGTGGGGGGGCAAAACGCATTTTTGCCCCCCCAAAACGCCCCCCCCCCCTCCAAAAAAAAACAAAAAAAAACAGTAAAGGCTTGTATTTTTAATCCAAAAGAACGTAACAATAATAAAAACCTGAATTAAATCACATATACAATTCCATTCGAAGAAACGGAAAGTTCACAGGAATTAAATTTCATAAACATTGCGCATGCCACCTATACGGTATTTATCAATGGAGGTCTCTATAATAGCGATACGCGCATATCGTGGACATATTGTGCGAGAATGGGAAAGCGTGCCCGTTTTTTTGTTATAGGGGTGAGAAGACATGAGCCCCTGAACGCTGGCGTACTGATGGGGGGGGGGGGATGATGTATTTCTTATTCGAAACAATTGATTTACAAATGTTGATGTTGTGACATGATTTTCCGGCATTTTTTCTCCATTTCTTTTGTAAGTCATACCTTTTTATGCGTTTGTTGGAAAATAAGAAATTCCCAAATTACAGTCAGGCGAAATACGCTAATTTAGAAGCCTTTATGTCATGGTCTGCAAAGTGGCTGGGCTCGAGCCCCCCCCCCCTCCTTTTTGAAAAAGTATGTTAAAGAAAAAAAGAAAGAAAGACGGAGAAAAAAATAAGTGACCTGCCAATGTCACAAATAAGGTATAAAAAATGCTCATCTGACCGTAATTAAATGCTTAAAACCCCAGAGCTTACGGGGGCTCCGCCCCCGGACGCCACCAAGGGACCTAAGGCGGGCCCCTGGATGCTCATCTGACCGTAATTAAATACCTAAAACCCCCTGGACCCCACCAAGGGCCCTAAGGCGGCCCCCTGGATGCTCATCTGACCTTAATTAAATACCTAAAACCTCTGAGCTTCCGGGGGCTCTGCCCCCTGGACCTCACCAAGGGCCCTAAGGCGTGCCCCTGGATGCTCATCTGACCGTAATTAAATACCTAAAACCCCTGAGCTTCCGGGGGCTCTGCCCCCTGGACCCCACCAAGGGCCCTAAGGCGGCCCCCTGGATGCTCATCTGACCTTAATTAAATACCTAAAACCTCTGAGCTTCCGGGGGCTCTGCCCCCTGGACCCCACCATGGGCCCTAAGGCGGGCCCCTGGATGCTCATCTGACCGTAATTAAATACCTAAAACCCCTGAGCTTCCGGGGGCTCTGCCCCCTGGACCCCACCAAGGGCCCTAAGGCGGTCCCCTGGATGTTCATCTGACCTTAATTAAATACCTAAAACCTCTGAGCTTCCGGGGGCTCTGCCCCCTGGACCCCACCAAGGGCCCTAAGGCGGGCCCCTGGATGCTTATCTGACTGTAATTAAATACCTAAAACCCCTGAGATTCCGGGGGCTCTGCCCCCTGAACCACACCAAGGGCCCTAAGACGGCCCCTGGATGCTCATCTGACCGTAGTTAAATATCAAAACCTCTGAATTTCTGGGGGCTCTCCCCCCCCCCCTTGGAACACGTCAATTGCCTTACAGAGGGCCCCTGGATGCTCATCTAACCGTAAATAAATACCTAAAACCCCTGAGCTTCCGGGGGCTCAGCCCCTTGACCCCCTGCCGAGGCTCATTCCCTGGACCCCACGCCAATTTACGCTCTACCTGATCGATAATACTCCACTTTGAAAAACGTTCCGCGGGACCTGCATGTAACGTGTAAGACTGGTGGTGATGCAGATTTTTCGTGTGCCCCCCCCCCCCTTCCGAACTTTTTTTCTCATTACGTCACTGCCCCTGGAATGTGAGCCCCCTGGAATGTTTGCCCCCCAGTCCCAAACTGCTTCCGGCGCGCCTGGCCACAGGAACAGTCTGCGGCAGATCTGCGGCAGGGCGAAACTTTGCTCCAGACTTGCCGCATACCAGTACGCCACAGGGACAGTCTGCGGCAGGTCTGCCACAGGAAATCCCATTAAAGTCTAATAGGGCCAATTGAAACCAATCATCTCATGCATATTCATTATTACTTTACACGTGTGACAGAAAAATACATTTATCATGATTTGTTAAGCAAATTAAGACAATGCACATCATTTTTGTGATTTCTATTTTCCTTTTGCCATTATTAACCAATAGATAATTTTGTCTGATCATGTTACAATTACATTCACGTTTAAGCAATAGATATATCGATTACTAACCAAGAAACTATGATTACTAACCAAGAAACAATGTACATATTTAGTATATATATGTGTACGAGCCTGTGTCACTTTAAATGTTACTCTTAAATACACTTCAAATGATCAATGTGATGAAGTTAATACAATTGAGAATAGAATATACCTAATCGGTAATATATATATATATATTGGTATTACCTAATTGGTAATATCGATAATGAAGTATCAATCAGTTTATCACTGGTTCTTCTACATGCATACTTTATTGCCACGTACTGGATATGAAAGAGTATGCGGCAGGTCTGCAGCAGGTCTATATGAGATATGAATATTCATGACGAAGAGTCTGCGGCAGGTCTGCAGCAAGTCTGCGGCATGCAGACCTGCTGCAGACTCTTCATCATACTGAAAGAGTATGCGGCAAGTCTGCAGCAAGTCTGTGGCAGACCTGCCGCAGACTCTTCATCATACTGAAAGAGTATGCGGCAAGTCTGCGGCAGACCTGCCGCAGACTCTTCATCATACTGAAAGAGTATGCGGCAAGTCTGCAGCAAGTCTGCGGCAGACCTGCCGCAGACTCTTCATCATACTGAAAGAGTATGCGGCAAGTCTGCGGCAAAACTAATTTGCATGTGAAAAAGATGACTGTCTGCGGCAGGTCTGCTGCAGATCTGCGGCAAGTCTGCCGCAGGAGTATGCGGCAGGCTCATTTCTTTCCTATGGGCTGTTATGGATGGCATCGCATTGAAAAAATAGTAATTGGCAAAAAGGACAGACGACCATTCATGGTTGAATTATTTTCCCTGATGATATTTATGATGATGATGGCGGTGATGATAATGATGATAAAAAATAAGTACAGTGAACTTTGACTGCGTGTAGTCGAAATTGATTGATGCCTCCACTAGAGAGACATTTTACAAACCAAAACAGTAGCAATTTTCAAAATTAAAGTTTGATTGTAATCCATTAACAGGTTCTCAGAATATCGTGATTACAAGCTATTTTTCATATACATGTATGACCCTTTGATCTTTGACCTCATGACTCTAAAATCTAATCAGTTAATTGGCTCTGCCAGATATATACATGTCCTAGCTGAGTTTGATAGTAATTCATCCGTTGCGGTTCTAATGATAATGTGATCACAAGCTGTTTTTGCATACATAATGAGCCCTGTGACCTTTGACATTGTGATCCCAAAATCTAATCAGTTCATTGGCTCTGCTGGATACATACATGTGTCTGGTTTGCTGGTAGTCCGTCAACCAATTCTAATGATATTTTTTACAAGCTATTTTTGCATAATGTGACCTTTGAACTTTGACCTTGTGACCCCAAAATATAATCAGTTCATTGGTTTTGCAAAATACATACATGTCCTAGCTGAGTTTGATAGTAGTCCATCCGTTGCGGTTCTAATGATAATGTGATCACAAGCTATTTTTGCATAATGAGCCCTGTGACCTTTGATCTTATGACCCCCAAATCTAATCAATTCGTTGGCTATGCAAGATACATACATGACCTAAGTTTGGCGGTAATCCATCAATCGTTTCTTGAGATATCACGATCACAAACTAATTTTTCAAACATAATGAGCCCCATGACCATTGACCTTGTGATCCCAAAATCTAATTAATACAACCTTTTACGGTTGCAAGAGAGTGCATGTGCAGACGAGGGCACCATTTTAAAATTAAAATAGTGCCCATGTAAATTTAATGTGAGCCCGTAACGCAGGCAGTGACGCAACAATATATGAGCATCTGAAGACATTGATGACGTAATGTTTACGTGCAAGTTAAAATGGAGGCCTTAACCGTGTAAGGGTGTATTTATTGGCTTTGCAAGATACATACATGACCCTAGTTTGGCAGGAATCCACCAATCAGTTCTTGATATAAGGCTAGCACAAGCTATTTTTGCATACATAATAAGCCCTGTGACCTTTGAACTTTGACCTCATGACCCAAAAATCTAATCAATCTATTAGCTTTGCAAGATATATACATATCCTAAGTTTGGCGGAAATCCATCAATCGGTTCTTGAGAACGGGGCGTACGGACATACAGACAGACAGACGGACGGATGGACTACCAGACAACATAGTGCCTCCGGCAATTTTGTAGCGGAGGCAAAAAAAAAAGTGAAATTCTAACAATTCACTCATGGTCATTACCTGATAACTGAAGTCCCTTCTCTCCCGTCTCAGTCTGATAACCCTTCTTGAGATGAACGATGAAGTTATGTGCATTGGCTTGCTTGGCAGCACTCTCGATACGTTCCTTAGAGCAGTCCTGCAAGCTGTAGGAGATGTTATCATGGATGGATCTGGCATAGAGTACTGGCTCCTGACCAACAAGGGCAATCTGAAGAAGAAAAACAAAGACAGGGTGTTTTAAATTAATCTGAAAGTAAACGGGAATGCATTAAAAAATTGCTTTACCTTGTCAAACCCTACAGGATACATTAGCTTTGATGTATCTGGTGGTCTAAAGAAAATAATAAAGAGCTTAATTTTCTTGTAGTAAACGGTAGTGCAGATACTCCTGCTATGCCACTTGTAACAATAAGTCTGAACATTTTCATGATTGATGAATACAAGGAAAATATTCCACAGCAGTTTTCAAGCGCAGATGAAATGCACTACAGCATAGCAGTGTAGTGCATATAAATATTATCATCATCACCATTATCGACATCATCCTTATATCATATCCACCATCAGTGTCTTTAAAATCCTGATACATACATGTGTGATTATCTCAAAGAAATTTTCTCTATTAGTGTTTCTCCTACTCTGACGAGTCTTCATCCCCCATGCGGACTGAGTATGAGATAAAAATGGCTGGAATTTCAACCAATATTCACACAAAGTACAGTCCTCTGCTCATTTCAAGTACACTTTATACAGCAATGAAGTCTTTTACACAGTTTGTATTCTGTCATGCCTACCTTCTGATGTAGGAAAGCATGATCATAGTCCTTCACGTTTCTACCGTCTATCAGCACTTCTCCTGATGTGGGCTCATAGAAGTGTTCTATAAGACCGATACACGAGCTCTTACCTCCACCGCTGGGCCCAACTAGGGCTAGCACTTCACCTGGGGATGCTGTGAAGCTTACATCCTGGACGCAAAGAAGGAAAGAGAAGGTTTCATAACATATGCTCAGGCAATATCATACTCTAAGTCACTAACCATATAATTCATACCCCCTTCACATACACAGATTTTACTTACGAGTCCTTACAGATTGCCAACTTGTAGTCAATCGCAAGCATCCATTAATAACTCGCCGGTATCCGTAAATAACTCGTTACAACTCGGAACAACTGGTAGACACTCTTTAAGGATCCGTGGACGGAGGCAAATATTTTGACATGTCAAAAATCTTCTTACGATTGTCCACGGATTAATTTTTCTGTAAATAGCTCGTAACAATTTGTAAGTACCGCAAACCGCTCGCAACAACACATAACCATCCGTAAACTGCTCGCAAGAATCCGTAAATGACTCGTAAATATGTTTACAGATTATTACTTAGTGCTCATGTGTTGATTATGATTTCATTTGGATTATGTTACGATGGCTTTACGGATTGTTACAAGTTATCGCAAGCACTTTACGTGTAGTAACGAGTACTTTACAAATAGAAATGTATGCTTACATAAGGTTTACGTTTTTGGGGAATGGTATAAAAGCTGCAAATTTGAACACTTCATTTTCAGTTGTTGTTTTCGCTTAAAAATCGTAAGGACTCGTAAGTACTTGTAACTAACTCGTAACTATTCATAACAATACGTACACAGGTCGTTACTAACACGTAAGTTTCTCGTAGTTATCTATGACAACTCGTGAAATTCTGCCATAAATGTATCGTAATAACTTGTTACTTGTAACACCTCTTAAATTGGTCGTAAAAGTGGCCAAATCATAAGGATCCTTGAAAGATTTGTAAGTACTTGTAAGAAAAATCTGTGTTTGTGAAGGGGGTATAACTTAAAGACCATGTCGGAAATGAAAAGTTAAATAGATGAATTATATATCAATGGAAGGCTTATAGGCCATAGATTACAAAATTATAAATTATGTGGCCCATATCAACAATTCTCCTGTTTGCAATAGCAGGTTATAGTCACAGATCAAACAAGAGAATCGTCTCACACAAGATAGATTTCCTTGGTGTCTTCAGGGAACTTTGTTACCATATAATGATCAATTATGATACACTTTTCAAGATTATCTGGTCTAGAGCAAATCACCTCTGTATTTCTTACTTTGAGTACTGGAATAGATGGTCTGGTCGGATAGGCAAAGGTGACATTTTTGAACTCCAATTGACCCTCAAACTGCCTGGGTGCAAGCCTGCCTTCATTCATAATGGTGGGTTTTCTGTCAATCAGTTGAAACACTTTCGTAGAAGCACCTGCAGCCCTCATTAGCGCAGTATACACATCAGAAATATCCTGATAAAATGAAGTACAAAGGTTAAAAAGTAACTAATTGAGATATTAGAAAGATTTAGGCTATGAAAAAGTCCTTCTAGCCCAACAAAATTTCATATGTCTTGTAAAAAAAACTCATCACCTACCTCAAACAAAATTCTACCAAAAAAAAACCACATTCCTCAATTACTCATATTACATTATGGATGATAATGACGAAAGTGTTAGGTGTAAATTCTCAATCAGGAAATAGGAACAATCCTATTTATGAGGGTTGCTTTTGCAAGAAACTGGAATTATCTATTACATTCAATGATGTGATGAACATCAACACTGAACAGGACAAAAATATCTGGTGTTCGTTAACAATACCCTGGAAATCGTATTTATTACAAATCTTACCTCAAGGCATGCTCCAAGCTCAAATTGATAGAGAATAAAAGAAATCAGCATTCCTCCACTAAGCATGTCCTTCACAACTAGATGGCCTCCGTAGAAGAGCGTTACTACAAACACCATCAATTCACACATCTAGGGGGAAAAGGTAGGCAGACAGGTATACAGAGTGAGACTCATAATCTACACAACACTTATATTGAAATTGGGAGAAAATTATTACAGTCATTACATCAATGGAGGTACTTTGTTTTGTAATATGATAAACAGAGTTTATTATATTATCTTTGTTATAAAAGAGGCAAATTCATACTTGATATTAATAATCAGTACAACGTTTAATGTATCAAATCTAAACGCGAGGTGTAAGGGGTTATCAGGCAAGAGATGGAGAGAAGAGCGGAAGGGTAAAGCTACAGTCCCATATACGTCCCGGACCGTCCCGGACCATGCCGGACCCCATCCGGGGTGATCCGGGATTCGGTCCGTGTTGACACCGTGTTGGCACCGGGGTGGTCCTGGATGGTCCTGGATGGTCCTGGATGGTCCTGGGCGGTCCGGGAGTCGACCCGGATGTTTTTGACGGTCAAAAACTGCCGGGGTGGTCCGGGACGGTCCGGGACAATAGTTTGATCCGGGGTGATCCGTGTAGCCACCGTGCTGGGTCCGGGGTCATCCGTAGTGGCGCCGGGGCGGTCCGTGTTGATCCGTGGCAGTCCGGGAGTGAGTTATTGACCGGCCAGGACCATCCAGGACCATCCAGGACCACCCCGGTGCCAACACGGTGTCAACACGGACCAAATCCCGGATCACCCCGGATGGGGTCCGGGATGGTCCGGGACGGTCCGGGACGTATATGGGACTGTAGCTTAAAAGCATCACACTTTTTTGAACAAAACATCCCGGACCATCCCGGATCACCCCAGACCATGGTCCGGGATGGTCCGGAGTGGTCCGTGCTCGTCCGTGCTGGTCCGGCTTTATATGGGACTGGGGCTTTATATCTACCCAGTCTTACCCAGTCTTGAGGATTTGTTAAGAGTTATATCATTTTCAGAAAATAACCTGCTTCATTGTCCTATTGATATGCATTGACCCTCCTGAACAATCATTGGCTGATGTTCTCATCACAAATTTCATTTTACAGATTCTTCACCAACATAGGGTCCCAATGATCTAGCTTACCGAGCTGATGACTGTGAAGAAGCCATAAGCTACAGCTTCCTTCTTACGTAGTAGGTAGGTGATGCGGAGCTTATTCCAGTAGCTCTTCCTCTCCCCTTCTTCATTGGCAAAGCTACGTACCGTCTTCAGGCTAGAGATGGTTTCTTCAGCCACAATGTTAGCGTTGGCCAGAGAAGTCTGAACTTTCTTGGATAGTTTCTGTTTTTTAAAGAATGATGCAAACAAAAGATATGCATATATATTCACATCACAATAATGTGCAATAAAAAGTTTGTACAGGAATATGGTCAGTAGAAGAACAGAAACATTGGTGGTCTCATTGTGAATGAATGTTACCTAGTTGTCACTCTTGTTCAATCTTGATTATAAAAGTAAGCTCTCACCTCATAATAGCTTCCAAAGACATCAGTGATGACAGCAATAAGAGGGAAAGAGATCAGTGTGATGAAAGTCAGTCTCCAGGAAATAATCATCATAAAGATGATATAACCAATCACTTGGAAGATACTACGAAGACAGATGTTGAGGTTATTACTCAGTGCCTCACTCATAGTGACTGTGTCAGACGTGAGGCGAGATGTTATAGCACCTAGCAAAGTCAAATGAAAATGTGACATGAAATTGATTCATTGATTCATTCATTTAAACCTTTAGTAATGAAACTTATGGAACGTGCTGTACATGAACAGTTGCAATCCTTCTTTGTAGAACATAATATGCTAATACCACAGCAGTCTGGGTTCCGTAAGGGACACAGTACAGATACAGTGCTAACTTACTTCACTGATTATATCCTCAGGAGAATGGATGGAGGATGTCTTACCGGTGTGATCTTTATAGATTTCCGCAAAGCGTTTGACTCCGTAAATCATTAAATATTGCTTGGAAAATTAAAATACTATGGTGTAAACTAGATGGAATTCGACTGCGCGCAGTCGAAAATGATGCCTCCGTCATAGAGCAATTTTACAAACCGAAACGGAAGAAATTTTTCAAATTCAAGTTCAATTGTAATCCATTAACATGTTCTCAGAATATCGTGATTACAAGCAATTTCTCATAAACATATATGACCCTTTGATCTTTGACCTCATGACCCTAAAATCTACTCAGTTCATTGGCTCTGCAAGATTTCCTGAGTTAAATAGTAATCCATCTGTCAGTTCTAATGAGAATGCGTCCACAAGCTATTTTTGCATACATAATGAGCCCATGACCTTTGATCTTATGAACCATTCATTGGCTCTGCAAGACACATAAATGATCTAAGTTTGGCAGGAATCCATCAATCTGTTCTAATGATAATACGATCACAAGCTATTTTTGCATACATAATGAGCCGCATGACCTTGACCTTTACCTCATGACCCCAAAATCTAATCAGTTCATCAGCTCTGCAAGTAACATACATGACCAAAGTTTGGCAGGAATCCATCAATCGGTTGTTCAGATAACGCGATCACGAGCTGTTTTTGCATACATAATGTGCGCTGTGACCTTTGACCTCGTGACCCCAAAATCTAATCAGTTCATTGGCTTTGCAAGATACATACATGACCAAAGTTTGGCAGGAATCCATCAATCGGTTCTTCAGATAACGCGATCACAAGCTGTTTTTGCATACATAATGAGCCCTGTGACCTTTGACCTTTGACCTCGTGACCCCAAAATCTAATCAGTTCATCAGCTCTGCAAGATACATACATGACCAAAGTTTGGCAGGAATCCATCAATCGGTTGTTCAGATAACGCAATCACAAGCTGTTTTTGCATACATAATGAGCCCTGTGACCTTTGACCTTTGACCTACGTGCTCCAAAATATAATCAGATTGTTTTCCTATAGTGATACACACTATCACTAAGTTTGAAGTTTAAATCTCCAGTGGTTCTTGAGATATCATGATAACAATCTCAATGTATGGAATTTCATAAGTTGACCTCTGTGACCCTTGACCTTTGACATACGTGCTCCAAAATCTAATCAGATCGTCTTCCTATGGTGATACATACTATCCTTAAGTTTTAAGTTTAAATCTCAAATGGTTCTTGAGATATCGCGCTAACAAACTCAATACAAGGAATTTCATAAGTTGACCTCTGTGACCTGTGACCTTTGACCTACGTACTCCAAAATCTAATCAGATCGTCTTCCTATGGTGATAAATACTATTCCCGAGTCTTAAGTTTAAATCTTAAATGGTTCTTGAGATATTGTGATAACGGTCAAACGGGACGGACGGACGGACGGACGTACGGACGGACAACCCGAAAACATGATGCCTCCGGCACCACCTTCGGTGGCGGAGGCATAAAAATGTTGAACTGGCTTGGTTTGAGGATTACCTGATGAATCGTAGGCAGAGAACTGTCATAGGGGAAAATAAATCTGAATGGGGCCAAGTAAAATCAGGGGTCCCTCAAGGATCTATCTTAGGGCCCCTTCTTTTTACAATCATGGTCAACGATCTCCCACATGTTATAACTAAATCTCAAATCATGCTTTATGCCGATGATGCAATTATTTTCTACAGTAGCATAAGCCCGCTAGAAATTGAGAGTATCCTAAACTCAGAACTCTAAAAGATACAAGCCTGGGTGCAGACAAACAAATTAGCTATAAATCCGGTTAAAACACAGTTTATGCTCTTTGGATCATCACAGAAACTAGCTACTCTCTCACAACCAACCAAATTACTTTTAGACAATCAACTACTTTCGCAAGTAGACACCTACAAATATTTGGGTGTCTGGTTAGACCCAACTTTAAGTTGGAAAGAACATGTTAGACATACAAGCAAGAAAATTGCATCAAGGATTGCACTACTAAGTCGCGCTAAAAGATTTTTGCCTCTAGACAGTTTGAAGCTACTTGCAAACTCATTGGTAATGCCTCTGTTTGATTACTGCTCCACTGCTTGGTCAAACTGTCCACACAATACAAAAGTTTTATTCATAAACCAACATAAAAGGATGGCCAGAATTATTCTTGGGGCACATCAACTCACACCCACTGTTCAAGTCTTCCGCCGACTTCACTGGGTATCGGTAGAAAGAAGGTGAACGTTTCATAAATGCAAAATGATGTATCATGTACTGAATAACTTTGGCCCATCTTACCTGTCGAACATACTTATAAGATCCCAGACTCTCCACAATCAAAACACCCGGAATGCAACCAATTTTGGACTAGCATTACCTCTGTCACGAACAAAGATGGGTAAACTAGCTTTTTCTCTTGAAGGCGCAGCATTGTGGAACCAACTCCCTTTTTGTGTTAGACAGGCCCAATCAAAACATTCATTTGCAAATCTATATTGGAGAACATTGCGTTTGTGATTATTTTTATTTCATTTTTTGGTACTAAGTGTCAAAATTTAATGAGAGTGGCTCCTATTAATGTATTCCACTCTCATGGAAATAAAGAATAAAAAATGTTTTGTGTGTGGAAGTATAGTCGAACTAGAATGGTATAACTGGGCAGGGCTTAACGTGACCGCACACTCATGATTGGCCCGCTGTCATGTCAACTGATCTTGTCAAAATCAGTTTCTTTATACATTTCTTTATACAATGTTTCTTACCTTGTGTGTGTGGACCCTCTGTTCACTATACAGAGATTCTTTACATGACATTTCTTGTGTGTGGATGCCCTGCTGGCTATAGGATGATTCTTTATACGACGTTTCTTTATAGAGTTTTGGGATAATTTTGTTTGTGTTTGGAAACGCTGATAAATGTATAAAAGTACATCACTTACCGGTCCTGTTTTTATCGAAGAAGCCTAATTCTTGTTTAAGAATCGATTCAAAGAGATTGTTGGTGACACGTTGGTTGAGTCTGGCCATTGCCATGGTCATGAATGCACCTCGAACTCCATTGGCTACAGCACTGTTTATTGAGAGACAAGTCAATATTGTGTAAATGGGTCATAGCAACACAATGAAAGTTGTATTGTACATGAATATTTGTTCAAATAATAATTTTTACAGTCAAATTTCTTGAGCTTTGCATTTTGAAAGACCTTACATTTATCTCCATGCACTACCTTTAATATCCCCTTCACATACAGAGATTTTTCTTACGGATCCCACAAATTCACAGATCTTTTATGGATCCTTACGATTTGGCCAATTTTACGACCGATTTAAGAGTTGTTACAAGTTTTTACGAGCTATTAACGGTTAATCACAGATTATTATGAGTTATTACGATGTATTTACTAATTTCTAATTACTAATTCCACCATTTGTTACGAGTTGTCACGGATAACAACAGGGAACTACCGGGAGTTTTACGACCTGTTTAAGTGTTGTTACGAATAGTTACGAGTTAGTAAGTTAGTAAGTCAAGATTTTGCAGCTTTTGTTCCTTTCCCCAAAATGTAAACAATATGTAAGAATACGTAAATTATACATATCGATCCGTAAAGTGCTTGTAACTACACGTAAAGTGCTCGTAATAACTCTTAACAACCTGTAAAGCCATCGCAACACGATCCGAATGAAATCGTAGACAACATGTAAGCATTCGTATTAATTCGTAAACAAATCATAAACTAACAGTAATAAATGGGTTTTTTTAATTCCTACAAGTAATTTACTGATTCTTGCGAGCAGTTTACGGATAGTTACGTGTTGTTTACAAGCAATTTACGATACTCACCAATTGTTACAAGTTATTTAGGGAAAAATCAATCCCTGGACAATCGTAAGAATATTTTTGTAAATTTGCATCTCCTTTCACGGATCCTTGAGAGTGTCTGCGAGTTGTGACAAGTTATTTACGGATACCAGCGAGTTATTTATGGATGCTTGCAACAACACGTAACTATCCGTAAACCGAGATGGCGATATGTAAGGACTCGTAAGAAAAATCTGTGTATGTGAAGGGGGTATAAGGTAGGGCCATTACATGTCTTTATATATATATATACAGCTTTTCCATTATGGTTACAAATGCTACATGTATTACCTGTCAGTACACAATTATTTAATATTGGGAAATCACTTTCATGAACTTGCTCTCAAAAATTCGCCCTCAATTATACAAACATCCATTAATGAGTTTTAGCTGCACGATACACAAGTTATTGCATTAAATAATGTATATTCAGATTAAAAAACAAAATGCGGTCATCTATTCTTGCCTTAGAATTACTTCCATTAAATATCTCCTCCGAATAAGTGCAATCAGTATGTAAATATGTAAGTACGTGGTGAGCAATGTCAATTTGTGACTTACATCAGGTACCATTCTCAGGAAGATTATATAGTACATGTAAGCAATAAACAGAATAGCATCAGTATATTTATTCAGCCTACATCATCACTGTATTTAGCCAAGCGCAGGACTCAGAATATTGCTCAATACATATTTAAACTAATTCAGTGAATAAAGAAGTTACCTATTCTTCAATTGATACATGCCCTAGTATCAGAGATTTAGGAGTATCCCTTTACTGAATTCATGATTGAAAAGTTTAATATTACACTGTAATTGAACTTACACCCCTAATGATATCAGAGTCATCAATATGATACCATTTTTGAACTGGGCCCTGTGTGCCTCTACTACCACTCCATTTAGAACCTGGCCTGTTAAAAGTGGCAAGAAGACTTCACCTGCAATCAAACAATGAGAAATGTACATAATTATCATAAATAATGACATACCGGCAGCGCTCAAAATACACGGGGGCGGTGGGCGATTCGCCCCCGTGAGCTACATAATCGCCCCCATCAGGTTGCTCACGGGGGCGATTGCAAAATTAAAAATCGCCCCCGTGGAATTATAAAATAAAGATTATCTTTTCTGTTATAACTTATTGAGTTTCAATTTTCAAACCTTAAACCAATGAAATGGAACTTAGATTAGCGAGCAAGATTTCTCGTTTTATGAGTAGGCCTATTATTACCGATTCAGCTCGCAACTGCAGTGCCGCCGTCAGCAGTGGTTATAGGCCTACGCCGCCGTTAGTAGCGGTACGTATGCACGCTGCCGCGCCATGTCTGCTGGAGCTGGAGGCGATCGCGCAAGGACAGAAACATGGTCATGGAGAAGTTTTTCGTTGTGAAAGCGTTAACCCGCTGAAATCTGGTGATTTCAAATGACCAGCAAAAAATGAACCTCGACCAGTAAATCAATATTAGGGACTTTTAGATATGCACGATGAGAACGTGGACTGCAACGTGTGACCTCCTTTTAAGGCAGTGTCAGTGGTTAAAAGGACGTCACATGTGACTGCCTGTGCCTTAAAAGGACGTAACACGTCCACGTCCACGCAAATCTAAAAGTCCCTACTGAGAAGAAGAGGAAGACCAAGATGTCGTGGAATGATATGGTAACATGGGCAGATCTACGGGGGGGGGGGGGGGGGGGGGGGGGTGTTAGGGGGTTTAACCACCTCCTCCTACCCCCCTCCTCCTTGGGCTGCCAAGTGAAAATGTGATATTAAAGCGGGGGGGGGGGGGGATGCTGGAGAGGAGGACTACTAATCTATTTTATTTTTTTCAGGGGGGGGGGGGGAAGTGAAGCGCCGTTTTAGCACGACTTTCTTTTTAACTCTTACTTTCACCTATCTCAGATACCCTAAGTTTTTGGTTGCTGCTTTATATGTAGTTGATAATCCATGATTAAAATAAAGAGAGAGAGAGAGAGAAAGAGAACCACCATCATTTTGCAATGGTTCAGGGTTCGTGTAATGTACATTTGAAACCATTTCTTAGCGTCTCAACCCTAAAAAAAAAGCAAAACTATTTTTGAGGAAAAGCATTATACTGAATAATAGCTTTATATTGGATCATACTAATACTGATACGGGCTAAAGACAATGTGGTATTTGTATAGAGGTATTCCAAAATGACATTCTGATAATCAACATTTGTTCTGGTATCATATACGCATAATACAACTGATCTTTATGATTTCTTAACGTGACATAGCTTCTTCTCCCCCTGCAAACAAAAAAGAAAACAAGGTTATTAAATAAAAGGATCATGCAACAAATAATCATTGTGATTCAAGTTGAAGCAAGGATTTTTTTTGAATAAGCAATGCTTTTCACCAGAATCTTCTTTGTAAAAACGACTTTACAAATCTCAGCCATGCAAATCTGCCACTGTGTTGTAAGATCACTTTCAGATTAGGAGAAGTGTATTCTTTAATGGGTATTTTACATTGAATGGAACGTCTCAACTCAGTAAGCATGGCTGAGATTTGTAAAAGTTGTTTTTACAAAGAAGATTCGGGTGAATAGCAGTGCTTATTCAAACAAATATTCGCATCAATTTGAATCACAATCATTATTTGTCGCTTAATCCCTTTTAATGACCATGTTTTCTTTTTCGTTTGCAAGGGGAGAAGAAGATATGTCACGTTAAAGACATCATAAAGATCAGTGTTGTATGCGTATATATTATATACACAGGCAAGTAGCAGCTATGTAGCTTGTAAATTTGTAAGAGGGAAAATGCTGATTGAAATGATAATGATGATATAGCAAATAATTGAGGAGTATCATAGGTACCAATTAAATGGATATTTGTATAAAAAAGAGCCCCCATCAGTACTAAAAGAGCCCCCGTGAGAAGGCTCACGGGGGCTCCTTTTGGGGGGGGGGGGGGAAGAGCCCCCGTGGACAAAAAATTAATTTGAGCCCTGCATACCGGTACATGTATATAAGATCACAAAATCAGTTTACCCCCTCCCCCCCCCCCCCCCCCCCATTCCCCGCAAAAGATAATGTGAGATCAAGCTAGGTTAAAATTATTGATTGCCATGGGAATTATAAAGTCATGCCAGGCAATTTTATTAATAATATCTGGATTTTTTGTTCATACTTTGCACAATGCACTGTTAATGATATAAACAGATATAAAGATTGAATTTCTTATAGTTATAGGTAAAAAACAAAGGTTGCCCTATTCGCAAGTGGCAACCTAACCTTTTAAAGCTTATCTGTACTAGTTTATAGGAGGGATTAGAGCACCCTGCAAGATCATGGGGGACCAATGGTCACCGATTAGACATTATTTTCTATAAAGAGGGAGCAAGTAGCTACAAGTAGGACAGTGTGGCTTTAAGCCCTACTGGCAACTCAAATACAGGTTACCCAGGAGCTTCGAAGGAAATAATTTAAATCATAGTCCTCTGTCAAAAAGTACCAAAATGTACAGCTTTATCATTTATATTTACGGCATTTCAAAGCTTTACTTGAATGAATATTATACAAATATACAATGACACTGGAGGATCTTGCTAAAACTATTCTCATCGAAGGAACATCAAATAGTATTATTGATTTTCCTGAGCGCGAATAGTATTAGCTTGCTCTGAGAATGAGTCATCATTGTATATTTGTTTAATATCCCTTCCACCTGTATCATTCCTTGGACACTTCTGCACTAACATGTATCGTACTCACATTCACATCATATCCAAAGAAGAAATTTTAAAAAATTGCACGGCTCAAATGAAACATTGAAGGATGTCAACATGTTTAGCTTGCGTTATATAGGTACAATATACTGCAGTAGTGTAGTCCACTTACTGCGTCTCACTGTAGATTGAACGGCGTGAGCGCAGTGACACTGCAGGAGTTCATGGAACTTCAGGGTCTAGGTCTGCAAAAAGGACAAATCATCTTTAAGAATTGTTAACACTTACCTCCTGCTGCACACATAAGAGCAATGAACCCCACCAGCAAGAAGGGCCAGTCACCTTTTGAGTAAGCCAATAGTCTCATGAGCGAAGAATACCACTTGACAGATTTCTTTTTTTTCTTTGCCTTATTGTCATCGTCATCTCCATCATCATCACCATCACTAGAGCTGTCACTACTTTCATCGTCACTGCTGTTCTCACTTTCACTACTGCAACTCGTCTCCACATTTTTGTCTTCGTTGATTAGACCTTGAGTATCATCCAACGGATTAAATTTACTTTCCTTCGAAGGTCTTGTCTCTTGTAGAATGTATACCCACAGGCCGTACATGGCAAGAGATGCAACCATTGTCCACACACCTAACGTCAAAAACCATGGGTCATCGTCATGGTTACCATCACTGTACTCCGTATATAACATGATTTTTGCCATGGCATACAGGATCATGACGATGTTGATGAAACCGACGGGATACCTGGCTACCTTGATGCCCTTGGCACCATCTTTTGGATTCCTGAGGACTCCTACAGTGGCACCCAGGAGGATCACTACCCTCAACATGGAAAAGAGCCATAATTCAAACGTCGAGTGCGTGAAGTTATATTCAAATACATCCTTACCGAACAACTTGTAATTGTTCCCATGGAGGTAAAAGACGCAGCCAAAGAAGGCATCCGCGGAGCTGAAGAGCAGCGTCACCAATGCACTTGTGTACAGCTTCATTGCTGCAGTCAACTTGATTTTCTCTCATGCAGACCTACGAAGTTCTCATGACAACTTCTTCAACATTGAGCCAACTGTTCATGGGTTGAGGCTTTCCTCTTCGATTAAAGATATATGAATACACCGTCACCTGGCAGCATACAGCAACTGGAAAAGAACAGATGGCACAGCGTTTATTTTGCAAATCAGAAAAATCACGACAGAGGTATTCACTGAGAGTGCTGTTCATGATGGTTAAAAGGCAATTCAAGGCTTGTAATAAGTTCATTTGATTGAAAGCGGTAAAATCAGAGAAACCAATAAGACCAATAAGAAAGTTATGCATTTTAAAAATATAAGATCACTATGTCTATGCGATTGGCAGTTTGTTGACTTGGTCAATGGATTTTTTCGTAGCCACGGATATAAACTCTCCCGTTTGCCATGAAGAAAAAATAAAATTAATTTCTTTTTGGGGGGTTTTAAAGGTACTATGTCCCATTTGCAGGCCAAAAAAATGAAAAGGTTAAATTCCAATGGCATTTGAAAGATAGGGTTGCGGTTCGAACAAATTCCTAGCGCTCTTAAGTACACAGAGGCAGCCCAGCAAACATGTTGTACGATTGATAACTACTGGCTAACTCACCAGGTTTTAATGTGTAAAAGCATTACAGCATTCTATTTAGCATTCCACATACATTCCATGCAAAGTAGAAGAAACCAATAAATATTCATATAGTCCCATACAAGTATAAATCAGCATCACAAAGTATTCTTGAATATTCAAACATAAACAAAGGGTATATATTGAATATTCATAGTATATGTAAATTATACTATAAGCTTGACTGCATCAGGTGAACTTTGAAACCAATGAGAGAGAGAGAGAGATAGACAGATGAAAGGATGGTGGATGAAAAGGGTGAATGTGAATGAGGGATGACCTATTAATATGAAAGGGATGAATCATGGATATGAAGAGGAGTTTCAGCAGTTCAAAATAAATCCCTACAATAATACTAATTTAGAACTCCCCTTAAAAAAAGGGGGCTTGAAAATGTCTTTAATTGGGAAAATAACGACTATTAGTTGTCAAATCGACTTAGGAGCTATAGAGCCGATAAGTAATAGTCTTGATTTTCAGACCATTGTACTGCATGGTTGTACGTTTTATGCTGTGCAAAGATTCAATCAGTTTAATTTTGGCCATTACAAGAAGTGGGTTATTGATGTAGACAAATCCTTTACAGCTCATTTTATGTATGTTATTACCAAAGAAGAAAAAAGCCAGTCAGTCACTCAATAGTGTCTGACAGTGAAGTCTAGCAAGTAAACGGGTTTCCTTGCATAATTTGAATATTAGGACACATGCTAACGTTTGAATTTCACAGATAGGACATACATGACATATTCATAATTCCTGCAAAGTTCTACAGAATTTGAGGTTGGCTGCAAGAGGGACATTCTACCTCTAAGTGCCCTCTCTCTTGGGGCACTACATAAAATATATAAACCCTCCTGAGAAAAACAAATTGTCAAAAAGTGAAATTTTTTATCATTTTGTGCCATCTGCTCCCATCTGGAGTAATTTGCTATCAAGGTTAGATTTCCTTTTACTGGTAAGTTCTTATACCCTGTATATATATCCTTGAAGCTGTATAATTTGTATGCTTATTAATAATAATAATATATTTACACACATAATTCATGCACTGAAAGCCAGAATGCGCTACTTGGTAGTTGGTATCCATTTGGAAATTGAATCTATACCCTCATCTTCACCAATAATATGTATTTTGGGAGTGGTATAAATCTACTAAGTCATATCAATAAACTGCAAATAATTAATTCTGTATACTACTACTATAGGCCTATATTTGGCAGACTTGTGTTGGAAAGTATTAGAAAGGACAAATATTTACGGTCAGTGCTTTTTCTTGCATATATTTTGTTAAATCCAAAGGCAAAAGAAAAAGGCTATAATACAAAGTTTTGGTATGGGGTACTGAATTTGGTTCAAATGAACATATGAAAGCATATATATGCAATTCTACAATATTCAATGATTGTTGTTGTGGTTGAGTTCAAGTCTAAAATGATGAAATTGTAAATAATAAACTATCGATGCCTAGCTCCCTCTGTGTTTTAGGGGCTAAATTTTTTAGTGCTTATAAAACTTCCATGTACAGAGGCATCCAAATATATCAAAATTAAAAAAATTACTGCCAATTTTCAAAATTTCCCCAAACTTTGCATTGGCTTTAAGCATCCTCAGACCATGGACCTAGTAGTAGTATGGTCCATGCTCAGACACACAACCCCCTCTAGTCTCAATTGGTAGAGACTACCCTCACACACCACACACACACAAACTTTTTGTTTTTCTGTTATATTGATTTTGATTACATTCATATCATTATTAAAACAATACGTTTTGTACTACAAACAAAACAAGTATAAAACAATGCAAGTAATTTAATATCAAAATACAAATAAATCTTTAAACACACACGAAATGCCACTGCCACTAGATTATTACCATCCATGCATGGTACACAAACTGACATAATACTCCTCCGCCCAGTCAATTAAGGCTCCTTGTATTACCAGTGGTACTGGTAGGCACACCACTTCCGACTTAATCACAGTGCAATGTTGCATCGAAAGCCCGACCGGGTCGCACCGTCGCAGGTGCCGGTGATCGCACCGGGCCGAATGAAGCCAAAGCCCGACAGAGCAACTTTACAATACAAGTTACAACCATTCACAATCACAGCATATATACACATTTGTTCTGTAAATAAGCACAAAGGCGACAGCACAGTTATTCAATCTTACCACGGCCCGCTTCTGAACAGACTATTACATATAAATCAAGGGCTACTCTTTTGAAGTTGGCGAGTTCTTCCACAAGGAGTTTTAAAGAATTTGAACTTCAGCCTTGCCTATGGCGCTGACTGTGGGTGTAGGTATGGAGTACAACACGACCCGGATCTCTACTACTCTACTGTTGTTGTCTTTTGTCAGTCAAGAACTGACTATTAATCACCAATGCCTTTCTTGTTAATATTATGAACGAACTGGGGATCGGTGGGTGTAATCTCTGGTACAACCATGGGTGTCGATCCTTACGTAATACCTATTCATCAGGGGGGGGGGGGGGGTGAATGAATAGATCACCCCCCCCCCCCCTGATGAATAGGTATCAGTTACGGATCGACACCCATGGGTACAACCGTACCATACCAAACTTGTTCACTGTTTCTAGGATTTCACTGAGCTTTGTTTACTTCTATATATTACTGCCCTTTATTACTGTCGTCAACTCGTTATGACTGGCGTACTGATATAGGGGGGGGGGGGGGGGGAGAAGGAGGAGGCTGCCCTAAAATAAAAATGGGGGGGGGGGGGGGGGAGAAGGAGGAGGCTGCCCCAAAATAAAAATGTAGGCCTATGTGTAAGAGTGGTGGTGATGCAAATTTTTGTTCTGCCCCCCCCCCTCCCCCAAACGTTTTTGCTCGTTACGCCACTGGTCGTTATTAGCTACCAACTGAACTGCTAATTGATAACTATAGAAGAGGAAAGAAAAAAAGCTTTCTCTTCAAATAAAAAATAATGCTGCTGGAAAGTATATTTCCATTATTTGTGTACATTAAATTAAATCTTCTTGGGTTTCTTTATGTAGCCTACCGGTACATACTCGATGACTTTAGAGGGTGCAACCGGGATGTTATTTGGTATCGAAGGATAAAATCGCATCGGTTTTTCGAAAGAAGCAAAAGTTTAATCTTTTGCCACACAATCTTTATGATGACTTTCTGACCACCTCCTTGGTTGATGATGCAATCTGTTTCACGTATTAGTGGGGGCAATATCGGACTCAAACCTTATTATGCCAAGATGGATCCCCAATAATAATAATACAGAAAATCATGATATATTCATAGTTGGAATGACGATGAAAGAATTATTAGCGTCGAGTGTTTCTTATGAGTCAACTCGTAGGCCCTATATTATTCACATTCTCAAAATAAACCTTACAAATTTGCGTATTAATGTTTAAGGAAGAACTGCGTTCAAGGCGAAAAAACCTGAAAAACAATGAATAAACCTGCCAGTATCAATCAAGGTAAAAACGACTGAACAGACAAAAACAACAACAAATAAGACTTGTAGGCATATGACACTCATATCAGGACAACTACCACTGGACAATTACCCCCCGGATAATTTCTCCTCCCGGAAAATTACCTCCCTAAGGACAACCTACCCCTCCCCAGGACAATTACCCCCAAAGACATTTACCCTCCACCCCTATTGAAAATTACCCATGTTCATTAAAAGGGAAGTCCACCCTGATAGTAAGTTGGTTTTGATAAATTCAGATTTTTTTCGGGGAGGGTGGGGGGGGGGGGGGCAATTTTCCGGGGGTTAATTTTGTCCTCGGGGTTTTTCCGGGGGTAAGTTGTCCTTGGGGGGGGGGGAGGGGGGAGGGGTACTCAGATTTGGTTTGGACTGGGGTGTACGGCTGAAGCGTCTAAACCCATATCCATTTTAAAGGGTCATTTTGGCAGAAAGTGGTACCCATTATCAGGGACTTCCATGTCGTATTCAATTTGCATGAATGATTTACACTTTCACATACATTAATCCCTTTATTTACATGGTAACATCTTCCAGCTGTTCGTTTTTCCTCTAACTTTTCTTTTAAACATTGCCCTCTTTCTTGTACTTCCCATTCCCGATACATTATTAGTCAGAAGCGGAGCTCAAATAAATGATACTGATACAAATCTGTGCGACTTTCTGCGATGACTTTGAATAAAAAAGCGAAATGATTTCAATTATTTTTGCGGGATTTCGCATTTGGAAAATTCACTTTAGCGAGATTATGAGTAAGATATTGTCCTGAAGAAAGTAGTAACCCATGTTTAAGGCTAAGATCTGAAAAGTAGGGGCAAAATCGGCAAAAAGTAACCCATTAGAGCGGCACATCCCCGTACACCGTATTAGGCAGGTACTATCCCCCCCCTCCCCCGAAAATAATTATCCTTCATCAAAAATTGATTTTTATTTCGAGTCTAATGAATATTTAGCTATTTTACCCCCTAAAACTAAATGTTCATACATACAGATCGAAACAGAGCATTTCCCTTACAGACTTAATTCTCATAAAGAAAAATCTTACTAAAAAAAATATATAAACAAAATAATTATTTAAAAAAATAAATTCTATTTCTTTTTATTGCTTCCAATTTCAAGATATAACAAGACAAGATGACATAAAGAAGAAAAAAAACTAGAATCATAATATGTTTACACATTTAAATAGGGAGAGCACCCCCCCCCCCCCTATTATTTGCATGTACTCAATGTATATAATTATGGAAATGAAAATAGGTATGTACTCGATGGTTTCTAAATTATCAAAAATGATTAACTATGTCTTCTCCAATTTACCTATATAGGCTTATCTTACTCTTACCTTAAGTTTTTTCCTGTTTTGAACATCCTTAGCCTTTTTACTTTTTCCTCTTTAAACTTTAAACCAAAAAGAAATCGTCCACGTTTATGGCCATGGGTTTAGCCCGTTCTCTACCCTTTAAAGACCGTCAATACTACTGGGCCAAAGGAGATTTGACCACACAGCGAGGTCACTGACAGGTGGCTATCTCATTAACTCAGCTCTCAACTAACATAAGAAAAAGAGGATCATGGGGACCAACAGGCACCGATTGGGGAAGTTTTCTATATAGAGGGAGCAAGTAGCTACAAGTAGGACAGTGGGGCTTTAAAATTGGTAAATGATTTATTAACTGTTCTTTGAGCTCTGGTATGGGCATTGTATATCGAGAGAAAATGGCTATAATTCATTCTGGATTGTTCATACTGCAGTAGATTGATGTTTGAACCAGTAGTAAAAAAAAAATTAAAAAAGTAACATGGTGCTGTCGGGCCTTCGTCAGCCTCGATTTCCTTATCTTTTGTTCATTTGTCAGCCCCTATACATTTTCTACCAAATTTTTTTGGTACATGTCATTTAGTTGTAATCATGAACATTCGTTGTATGTTTTGTGGATTCTGTGTGAATTTATTTTCTATCATGACCAGAACTCAAGCTTACTTTTAATCAGTTAACTTTATTCCAAACAATATTTCTTCCAAACTTGAATAACATAACTAAAATTTTGACTAGATTATTACAGCGATTCCACATCAAACAAGCAAAATCATTTGACGAAACGTCTCCTCTTTCTTTTTACAGGAATAACATACGCTATTTTGGACTATTCAAAACGAAACGAATGATGATTTGTGTAAATAATTCCATCTTGTTGACCAGAAATCGATTCGGAAGTGCATCATGCTCAGGACGACGTTTGAAAGTACCCCATCTACGTTTCCATATTCGAAAAAGTTGTCTGGGTCATCGAGATGCAATTAGGATTGGATTTTCCGGAATAGTGTCTTCTATTCTTCTAGTCTTTTATATACAAATGTAGTAATTTATTTACTCCCTGTAACAGTGATTTATACACGTGTAAAGTGAACAAAGTTCACTACCGAAATTCTAATTGGCTCACGTGTTGCCTTTTCATTCAAATGTTAAAGCCTAGAGAAATTCGAACCGCTGGCACTAAAAATCTAGCCACGTCATCTCCTATAGCCTGTACAAAGTTCCAGAGAACGTGGCAGTTGGGCGAACGGTAAACTAAAGATTTAAAATATAATCGTCAAATTTCTTTGAAACCCCAACCTATCATGAATGTTCAGGACTTCATAAAATTACACGGAACAGACATGTATTATTCCTTTTAATCGTCTGAAATAATTGACAAAAGAATTGAATTAAAGAAGATTGCTCTCTTCCGGATCCAGTGTTTTTTTTTTTTAATTCCGTCATAGAAAAAGAAAGTATAATGAAAATAAAATAATGAATATACACATTATACAGTTAACATAAGTAAGAAAAACATGACAAGCAACAATGTACAACGAAATAAACAAAAGCAGAAACAGACGGCTGGGTAGCACACAGTGGCGTACCTGGGGTACTCCGTCAGGGGGGGCAAGCGACCGAAACAAACAAAAAGGGCGATGCTAATTTTCACTTTTGGCGAGCGAGCGAGCAAAAAAAATGTTTAAGTAACGTTTGGTATATAAACTGGTATTGTTGCAAGTTGGGGGTGGGAACATTCACTTGTTAGCGAAGTTAATTTCATTTTTTTTTGCAAACGAGTGTAGTGAGCAAGAAAAAAATCACTTCTTTTTTAATTGCCACTTAAACTTGGTTCAATTGTCCCATGCAGGGCGCGGGAACAATATTGTAGTTTTAGGGTGATTTTATACCCATTTTAGCTAGCGAGCGAAAATACATCTTTCTCTCAATGAATTGCTATATAAAATTTGTTTCATTGTTGCAGGTAGGGGACGGGCACAATCGTGTTTAAGGCAATGTCAATCCCATTTTGGCGGGCAGGCAACCCCCTACATTTCTCTTTTTAATGATATTGTAGCAGGTTAGTGGTGGGCACATAATTCCACGAGCTAGCGAGCGTAGCGAGCGAAAAAAAAAATCACTTCTCTTTTATAGGGAAAATATGGTACATAAAACTTGGGTTCATTGTTCCATGTCAGGGACGTGATTATTAAAAGCGGTGGTATTTCTATTTTGGCGAGCGATCGTAGCGAGCGAGCAAAAAAAAATCACTTCTCTTTTATAGGGAAAATAATGGTATATAAACTTGGGTTCATTGTTCCATGTCAGGGACGTGATTATTAAAAGCGGTGTTATTTCTATTTTGGCGAGCGAGCGTAGCGAGCGAGCAAAAAAAACAAACTTCTCTTTTATAGGGAAAATATGGTATATAAACTTGGGTTCATTGTCCCATGTCAGGAACGTGATTATTAAAAGCGGTGTTATTTCTATTTTGGCGAGCGAGCAAAATTTTTGTAATGATAATTGGTTCATAAATTTCAGATTTTTTTGTTGCAGGGCAGGGCTTACACAATCATGTCTAAGGTGATGTTAATTCCGTTTTGGCGAGCACGAGCACACCAAAACTTCTTTGAAT